TATTGGTCCCTAATTAGTCGTAATTGTACGACTAATGTACTACCAATAGATGCTCATTGGTCGTAAATGTACGACCAATGTACGACCAGGCCAAAAACTCTATATATACGAAGGCCTCGCGAAGCACTTGGGTTGCTCATCCCCCTCTCTCTAACAACGACTCCCCTTCTCTCTCTAGGTAAGTTTTTTTTTTTTTTTTAGTTTTAGGTGGTTAGTTAGGTGATTAGATTAGGTTTGGAATTAGTTTAGGATTGGAATTAGTTTTAGGTGGTTAGTTAGGTGATTAGATTAGGTTTGGAATTAGTTTAGGATTGGAATTAGTTTTAGGTGGTTAGTTAGGTGATTATAATATGTTTAGATTACATATATATTTTTATATAATAAATTTGAATTGTTTATAACCTTGAATCCTATGTATTTTAAATTATTTTGCAGATTGACGATATTACAGCTATGGCTAGCGGTAGAAGAAGACTTTGGAAACTTAATAATTAGTTTTTTTCAGTTTAAGTTTTTTCAGTTTAGAGCGACGTGCGGAGCAGGTTGAGTCCGAACTTTTCGACGAAATAAACCTTAATAATTAGTTTTTTCAGTTTAAGTTAATTTGTATTTTAAATCTTTTGATATTATGGATTTTATGTTTATGAAGGATGATTATAAATATTTTCTTTTAAAATTATCAATTTTTTTTAAAAAAAATAATTTAAATTTTCAAATAAAATATATAAATTTCGAATAAAAAAATAATATTTTCGGTCGTAAATTGGTCTCTAATTTACATCCAATGAACTTCAAATGTGGTTGTAAAGTTGTCGTTTGTTACGACTAATGTACGTCTAATGTTAACCTCATCTTTACGACTAATGTATTACAACCAATGTACGTCTAACATTAACCTCATCTTTACGACTANCTTTTACGACTACAGCTTTTACTACTGATTTACGACTAACATCAATTGTCGTACATTTACGACTAATGCGCGTCGAAAAGTGAATTACGACTAGCGTATAACGACTAATCACATTTAGATGTAAGTTAGTCGTAAATGTGCTTTTACAACCAATTTACTACCAATATTGTAGTCGCTAAAGACTTGTTTTCTTGTAGTGGATATGCGCCAACAGCGAAAGCTAGCTTTTGGAGCTCCATCCTTTCTCGATCCATTTCGGATTTACCATATATCATTCGTTCTCCGTTTAATGTCCCTGCACTGCTCATTAGGTACCTTTCCTTCGGCTTGGCATTGCCAAGATTGACCTGGTTTTGAACAGTAACATAGGACCGACTCAACACAATTAAGGGCTCTTGGGCAAAAAAAAAATTTGGACCCTATAATCAATAATTTTTATTACATAAATTAACTAATCTTCTTGGTTTTATCTGAGTTTTTAATTAAAATTTTTATATTCACATTTTCAAATACTACACAAATTTAAATCTAGTTTAATGTATATATGTCAAAAAATAAAAAATAAAGATAAAAATTAAATTGGAGTGGGGGGGGGGGGGGCGGCGGTCTAGCCCCATGCTAAAGCCGGCCTGACTCCTGAGTAACATACACATGTACGTAGCAATAACATATCAAGCCTGATTAACTGAATACCTGTTTCTCAGGCATGTTTCTTTCGGTTTCAAACATTTGTTGCTGTGGCTCTTCCACCATTTTCTTATTATCTTCTATACTAACCCGTAATTTAGAGCCAGATGAAGCCTCGAGAAAAAATTAAGTTAGTTCCCACAGGAAAATGAAAGATTGTTTCCTATATATGGTTTTACCAATTGGAAGAAAAAATTATGTTCTCAGAGTACATGTCTCGGACTTTGATATATATAGACATTTTCCGTATGAATGTTAAGATTGATATATATATATACTAAATCTTTTCTATTTTATAAAGAAGAACTAACTAAGTCTTTATACACTAAGACACATTATTTAGGACTTGGTTTGCACGCCACGAAAGTTGACAGCTACCATTATTTCATTTTCTTATATCGTTTCAACCACACAGTAAAGTTTTTTTTTCTTTTTTGTAACTTATCCACACACTAAAGTTGACCACTTAATTTGCCACTATACATAAATCTACATGCCATGCGGTTTGGCTAATTCGAAGATTTTAACTAGCGAAATTATTTCGGTTTACAAATTTTTATTTAATAAATATTTATAGTTTTATATATAATTTATGTATTTTAACTTTTATATAATTCAGTTAAATTTATGTACATTATGTATTATAATCATTTAAAATGTTTTTTACTTAGTCAACCGTTAAGATCATGAATTTCATAGTTAGTGTGTAGTTACAAAATAATAAATATGGCTCATAAATTCAAAATGGTTATGTTCTTAAAACTTTATATATAATTACACTACATTATTTTCACTCATTTGAATCTGCTTAACGTCCATGAAACGTGATATTTTATCCATTTACTATCTCAAGCTCTCAGTAGTTCTGCATTTTCACACCCTCCAAACTCTCTACATATTGATGAAAATTACAGAGTTATCATAATATTCCTATTTTACTATAAGCTATATGTTTACAAGTGGTTTATCAACAAGCAAAGAAACATTATGTTTAGAAGTGACGATATAGATAACAATTTACCCTGGTTCTTAATTAAGACGACTCCTTAAGGTGTGATAGAGTTTGCAAAGCTTTCTGCTTTTTCTGGCGAATCCTCTCTATCGTTTTCCTCAAAGACTTAATCTCATTCTCCGCCTTTTTCAGTCCTCTTTTGTTTGAGTCTATCTCTTTTCTTCTCTCTGAAATTGATTTTACCCTTTTCTCTTTACTTGTCTCCAAAGACTACAACAAAAGGAGTTTAAACTATCATAAGTTATGAACAAAGCAGAACTACTATTTCTGAAATTATCTCGAAAGTTAAGAATACAGACCTATATCTACAGATTACATGTAAATTCAGAATAGTTTGAATGAGTTTTATGCAGTTATTTGGTGATATATAATACAAATTCCTATAAGTTTATCGTATTGACCTTATTTATTAATTCATTTTCCTACCCTATATGAAGTGTTATGTTACTCTAGACCAATTAAAAAAAAAAATCTGAAACTAAACCAAGTCAAAATTATTCCGGACTAAGCAAAGTTGATTTTACCTGAATTTGTTTACGTAAATCCATCGTCGACGGTAATGAATTCCATAGAGAACCTTTTATTGGAGCGTTGACAAATAATTGTTCTCGCTCCATTACAAGTTCCAGTAGTTGTTTTCTGGTTTTATCTTGATCGCTTATGCTATTAAGTCTCCATTTCATCAAAAGAGCATGGCCTAACCTCCAAATCTGCGTTGCTAAAACAAACTGATAAGAAAAAAAGAAAAAAGAAAAAAAAGATGGAACATTATATATCCAATACCAAACTCAGCTTTAATTTTCGTAAAATAGTTTTCCTGTTTCCTATATTCGAACTTCGAAAGACTTGTAGAGAAATAGCACTAACTTGTAGATCAAGTTCTTTGAGAGAAGAACCAGAGTTACTATGCTTATTTGGATTAGCCATATTGAGAAGACGTCTTTCCCCACCCATGCTACGTGCTTCATGCAACATCCGGTAATTTAGGTTCTGTAAGAACACGTACAATGGGGGATTTAACCAAATTCTTAGCACGTATTCTTAGACAAGTCATATTTAATTAATAGTATTTAATTTGCATAACGAAGAGTTCTTATCTAGGGAATTTAAAGACTTGATTTTTAATGATGTGGTTTGAAATTTTTAACTTTTTTGAAAAAAAAATTAAACCCTAAGACCTAAACTCTAACCTCTAAACCCTATAATTCTAAATCCTAAGACTAGATTAGTTAATTCGAGAGGTATAAATATGTTTTTACACTTTTTAATAAAGTTTATTTTGGTCATTTTTTTATAGTCTATATTTGTGACAAAAAAAATTTTAGGCTTTTCTAAATCATTTTCTAATAAAAATTTTAATTTCACATGTTTAAAATTTTTTTTTTCTAAGAATTCCAAAATAAAAAACACCATTGGGAGAATATTTTTTGATTAGAATCTTTAACTATTTAAAAAAAAAAGTTTAATAATGCTAAAGACTCCAATGGAAAACCATTGGAGATGCTCTAAATATACATGCTTGTTAGGTTTTGTTTTAACTTTCAACATTTTGAGACTGAGCTAGAAAAAAAAGAAGGATAAACGATTAGGGTTGTCTAACATGAATGTTAACTTCTGGTTCTCTTCCGGAAGAGAAATATAGAACAGCCTTCTTGTCACGATATGCGCCATGAGAGAAAGTTAGCTTTTCGAGCTCCATCTTTCTTTGATCCATTTCAGAACTGCTATACATCATTTTTTGTCCGTAACTCCATCCGTAGTCCAACGTGCCGCCTGCCTTCGACTTTGCGTTTTTAAGATTAAGCTGTTACATATATATGTAGCAACATTAAGCCTAGTTTATAAGCAAAAAAAAAAAATTATTAAGCCTAGTTAGACCAACATTATCGGCAGCTCTTAGAGCATTTCTTAGGTGTTGGGGTCCCACTTTTTTGTAAAACCAAGGTCAAATGTCCCTTAATTAACAAACGTTTGTGGAGAGTCCTTAACAATTCGTGAATGTTTTTCGAACAAAAGAAATAAAAAAAAATAAAACTTTGTGCCTAAGGACTTGTGAACGTCCTAGCGATAATGTTGGTCTTAACTTCATTCGCAAGCTAGAAAGAGAAACAGAGGGACAAAAATTTATTTCAGGAAGTTTTTGAGTGATTATCATTTCCCTTTATCCGAAATGAACACAATGATCAATAAGTATACCTGTTTCTCAGGAATTTGTCGTTCAATGTAAAACATTTGTTGTTGTAGCTCTTCTAACATTTTTTCATTCTCGTCTATTAACCTCGCGTCTCGGTGTTGTTGCTTCCTGAGTTCACTAGGCTGCTGTTGATGTCTAACACTTTGGTTACTTTTCTTTCTACCAATTTCTGCAACCTCCATATTTTAGAACCAGATGAAGCCCCTGAAAAAAGTTATGCTACCTTTTGCAGGAAAATGGAAGATTGTTTATATATAAAAAGTTGCTTAATTAAGTCTTCTTTCTATTATATAAATAAAAAAACCAAAATGAATAAGAAAAGAGAATTTACGAAGTCTTTCTACGGTAAGATAAATTATTTAGAACTTGGTTTGCACGCCACGAAAGTTGACAGCCACTTTTAATTTATTTTCTTTTCTCGATTCAACTAAATAAAGTTTTTTGGTCAAACGAGGAATCTTCCTTCATTCTTCTTTGGCTGATTATTCACGTTTAATTGTTTACTCCCTAAGTGATTTTTTTTATTAATTGTAATTTACTCAAGCTTTTTCATGGTACTGCATGTCTTCCAAAAAGGTAAAAGGCTTTTAGGGGTTCTAATGATTAATTTAGGGGAAGAGCATAGGGTCTTCCTTTATCTCATGTAAACTCATAAGAGCATCATTATCCCAAAGACTCAAAATGGGTCTTTTAATACTTTTTTAATAATATTAGTAGTAAATAGTAGGTTAAGAGACATACTTAAAAGACTTAACATTTTAAGGTCACCAATGCAAGTCTCTTATTTAAGGTTTTTAAAAAACTATTGTTTAAAACACATTTAGCAAACTACACATTTGTTCTCTATTTACCAACTACACAACACAACTCTATCGATTTCAAATACATTCAACAAACTACACCTTTGTTCTCTATCAACCAATTACGCAACCATAAAAAAATTTATTACCGAAGCTAAAAGATTCAGCCTTTGTATCATAAAGAGATGAAAATCAAAGCATAAAGTTTGGAACTTACAGGGAAAATAACTCAACGTCCTGCAACTCCATTTTTTTCAATCTTATTTATAAAAAGGAGTCAGTAGACAAACACTTGCCAATCTGAGTCTTTCCAATACCGGATACTCCACCTGCAGAGAATTAAGAGGAAGATTCAAAACACTTGTTGCTACCAATCTATGTAAACGAGATGGATTACCAATCTCTGTAACATCCCTGCAGCTGATTCCACCTCCCAAGTTCAGAAGAAGATGTAGTAATGCGCGGCAAAGCTTCCTCCTTGTGAAGCATATCCCAAGCATTCTTTGCTCCTAGTTTCGAAAACAAGAGACAGAATCAACAAAGACATAAAAGGACAAATAAAAGTTTGTATGTAAAGAAATAACAAAGAAAGAACAAAACTGAATTGTATGCAAAAGTTTCTCCTCTGGTATTCTTCTTGAGAGACACGAACTTTTCACGAGACTACAAGTTGATAAGAAAACTTATTACATCACTTAAGATCAAGAATATCAATTACAATTGCATGCACAAGAAACTAAGGAAGCTATAGACTCTATTGCCAAGTACCTGATCATACGAATGAGCAGCTTTATCAAATCGATGGCGAGACTCCTGCAAAGGTGGAAACAACATAGTGGATGATTGGTAAAGAACAGCATGAAGCTTTCGATCATATATGCTTACTAATGAATAAGACCAAACTTCGGTTAACTGATAGAAGTCGAATCTACAAATTTGAGACTCACTACATAAGGAAAAAATTAAATATTCTCAAAATTACCAGAGAAATTGAATACCTTAGCTTCTTGTAGATCAACATTGATAAAGTTCATCAATCTCTCAAGTAACACATGCTCCACCTACAATTTTTTCCTATAAAATACCACAACCGTTAAAAAAATGAGGCATTGTTGGAGGCATCTGCAGAAGAAAAAATAGACAGCATATTTGACGTTTGAAACCAAAACTATCTTCGTTTGAATTACTATGCCCCCCCCCCCCCTCTTTCCACAGATATGCTAACCAATTCTTCGTTTGAATTACTATGCCTCTTACAAGATACTATAGAGTCTATGAGAATACCTGTGAGCAAAGAAACTCCTTATAAGAGGCAAGCTCTCGAAGTGTATTTATGAATTTTGAAATAACGGGGCCTGGTGTCACGCACAAGGATATCAATCAAATAGGTCAGATATGATACATTTTAGACTACCATTGTCTCTTAAGAGAAAGTACGAGTAATCCCAAACGTAGGATTTTATTAAAGGTGAGAAGAAACATCAATTGCTATAATGTCATGCTGAGAAGAAATAATATAAATATCAACAACCTCCAATTGAAAGACTGACAGGATCATCATGTCCAGCTCCAAATTGTTCCAGACAATCCGCAAAGGCACTTTCTCCTTTGGATGCTTCTCCCAAAACTCCCCTATAAAAAGAATAATTAATGCAATTCATATCAGCCACCGATAACATGCCTAGCCACGTAGCGGAGAAGCAATAAAAAAAATATTGATACGGTTGGAGAGATGCCACCAAAAAAAAAAGGAACTCCAAAAGAAACTAAGTCAGATTTACATGAAATCGAAAAACAATCAACAAAGCTTTAATGCTTAAACAGTTTTATTCCCCGATTGCTAATTAAGTAACCAACTAGATTTTGACCCGCGCTTGAAAGCGTGGAAATTTTTTATGATTAAAAATTTATATAATTGGGTTTTGTCTTAATTTAAAGAATATTTTGATATAAAATCAGTTCACCAAAATTTGTGGTGATGATTGTTTTTCATTAGTTTTTAGTTTCAGTTTTTATTTTTAGATTTTGGTTTTTGGTTTTTGGTTTTTAGTTTTTAAGTTAGTTTGAACTAATATTACCAACAAACAAATCTCAAATAATCGAACATCTAATTTAAAACTGAAAAGATGATAACAAATTTTTTTTAAAAAAATTGAAATAGTTTATTTTGTAAATAAACAAAGCAAAAAAATATAACATGTGTTTTCAGCTTTTGGTTTTGGATTTTAGTTTTTTGATTTGATTTTTGGTTTTTGGTTTTGCTTTACATTTTTTTAATCAGTAAATTATTTAAGAAAAATAAAACAATAAATTATTTAAAAGTTACCATTGAAATTTATCAAAACAATGTGATTTTTATTTAAAATAAAAATATATATTAACATGTTTTAAAGTACATGATTTAAATAAATGATTAATAATAGATAATTTTATTTTGTTAAAAATATTAAATACCTTTTGGGTCTGAAAATAATAATTGATTTTTTGATCTTTTAAGGTGAAAAGTTTATTCAATGTTTTTGGAGTTTTTTCTTAATACTAAGCCAAAAAACCAAGCTATATAATTTGTTCAAAAAATAAAAAGTAAACCCAAGACTATATTACATAAATAACCACTGGTTTAATTTAAGTATAATTAGTAGATTTCCATATTCCATATTTTGATGATATATATTCGTTTAGAACATTTCATATTTGTAGGAGAAAATATATGTTTTTGATATACACATAGATACCTGCCGTATTTTGAAGGTATTTTACATTAAGGTCGTCTCTTTACATTAATTGTGTTGGTTTAATTTAAGTAATACGGTTCAATCAATTATATGACTTATATTATTTGTAACATTCTAAAAAGGTTTCAAATTTTAAATTACAACTTGTATCAGTAGATAAAAAGAATGACTCTATTTTAATAGAGTAGATACTCTAGCTTCACTTTCAGAAAATATATATGCCACAAATGGTATTCTTAGGGCATCCACATCAATGAACCCCTTCTTGGGGTTCATTGAATCATTTTTTTATTATTAAAAATTTTCTGTTTTCTTTTTGATTTTTTTTTTTTTTAAAAAAACAAAAAAAAAATCTAGACCAATCCCGAGCCGCCACGTGTTGAACCTCAGGAGAGAGGGATTCACCGCGGTGAACTTTAGGAGAGAGAGGTTCATAGGTTTTTCTTATTTTATTATTTTTTTTTCTTAATTTCCGTGTGAACTTCCCCCATGAAACTTCAATGGGGGTGCTCCTAGAATCTTTAAATCAACAGAAAAGATCAGACAAAAGAAATTAAGACAGTAAGTAAAAAAAAGGAAAAGGATAGATTAAGACATACATAAACTTCTTAACACCTTTGTAAAGCTTCTGACAACAATCTTTAAGCTCTTCAGCTGTCCCTTCCAAGGAACAAACCTGAATCCAATCAAATCAAAAAGACAGAGACACAAGACAAGAATAAACCTGAAATTTTAAAATTTAAACATAAACCAAAAAAACGTTAGAGTATTCAGCAGCATTCCAATTTCACCTGTTTCTGAAACATTGGGGAGTCTTCCAGATTTATAAAGGTCGCCATTGATGAAGCTTTGTTATTCGAGTTTGAAATGGATCTGGCGAGAGAGATTCAGAGGCGTTATTAGTCGGTGATTATTGATTGCTTTGGAAACAGCCAGTAGCAACCACAAACTTCTCTATATTTTCAAATATACCCCTTCGTGTCTTTTGCTTTTTATAATGGCTCTTTATAATGAGCCTTTTGCTTTTATGGTGTGAACTGGTATATATGGGCTTTAATAGTGTGAATATAAACGGGCTTTTATAGTGTGAATGTTATATCGTTTCTTTATATGTTTTTCCTTTGTTCAACCATTAAGATCATTAATTTCGTAAATAATGTGTAGGGGAAGATAATAGAAAAAATGAAGAGACGGTTTATAAGTTTTTCTAACACAATAGGAGAGTTCTCACTACTAAGGTAGTTTTCTTTAACGAGCTCAACTTTCTAGCTTCTTTAAATGTAAATCAGTTTCATTTATAGGCAGGATTTAACTATAACCATCCACTAGGATAAGACATGCACCTTGCGTAGGGTGAATATATTAAAATATAAAATTTTAGCATTGACAAATTTAAAATTTACATATTATTGTTTTTGTATGTATTTGAAATTTTAGAATTTTGAAATTTTAGAATTTTGAAATTTTTATATAATTATCTATACGTAGGATCAGAAACAATTTTAATTAGAAATGTAGATCAAATCTTAGAATTTAATGGATCTGATTTCATATATCTTTTTACTTTTCAGTGTTCGAGTGTGGAAAATAAATGGAGTATCACTGGGCTTGATTGGTAGAATATTAGCAAGTTGCCTAATGTTTTTTAAGAAGCAATTGGTAAAATATTTGCATTTAAAATATATAAAGTTTCAAAACTAATTTAATATAATTTATTTATTTGTCTAATAATATTAGAAAATTTTATTTTCTACAAATTATTATTTCTAAAAATAATTTTCTAAAAAATTATGTTAAATTTTAAATTATTTTTCAAAACAATATTTTCAGTTTTTCAAATACTAATAAACAATTTAAAATTAATTATGATCATGATTTAACATAACCATAATGATTTAAAAAATAAAATAAAAAATTAAAAATTAACTCAGTTTTACATCATGATTTAACAATTTAAAATTAATTATGGTTATGAGAAGTTTACGTTCACGTGTCAATCCTATTTATCTTCCATTTTCCTCTTGCTATGTTTTTTTTTTATATTTTGGTTATTACTCTATATAAATATTTATTTTGAATTTTATTCTCATTTCGTTTGTTTGTTTTGACCTGAAATTTAGAAAATACTTAAGATTTAAAATAATTAAACAGATACATACTTAGGTTAAGATCTGCACTTTATGCACAAAAAGTATTTTATATTTATTATTTATTTTATATTTTTCTGCATATTATAAATAATAAAATATTAAATATATATATTAAATAACTAAGAAATCAGTTACTATTATGTAATAAATTGGCGTATACATATAAATTTAACTATTACTCTTGTTTATTCACAATTAAGGTAAATAAATCAAAATAATCAATCTTATATATTGTATATGATATATAATTAAATTTAAATGATATAAACATAGTAATAGAGCACACTTTTAATATGGATATTTATTAAATGAGGTTTCTACTCATATGATTTTATGATTATTTGCATATTTGTGTAACAAAACTTTACACCAACGAATTTTTTTTAATGTCGGATGTTTAGTAGTTTCAATAATTTACAATCATTTTAAAAAAACAATGACATATTTCAAAATTAAAATATTAACTTTTCAATATATGTTCAAGGCAAATATCAAAAATATAAGTATGTATTTTCATACGATGTATAGTTTAATTAAAATGATATGAAATATATATAAACTAAAATTATTTCTTCATATGGTCTTATAATCATTATATTTTAGTATAGAAAAGAAATTAAAACCTTGATCTTAAAAGTTTATGTGGGAGTTTTAACAGTTTTAGTAATTTATACTCATTTTTAAAAATTCGAAATACAACATACACAAAAAAAAATCTAGATTTTTATTATATGATTAATGTAATTTTGTAATTTATTTTAATAAGAAAGAAATAAACAAAATGAAAAAAAGTATACAGATTGTTATCAAATCTTTATTGTTCAAAATCACTAATTGTCATATATATATTTTAATCACATTAGGTAATTCCGTATGTTTTATTTAAGGAAAGCATGCGAAATAATAAATATTTGATATATGCGACCAACTATAGCCTACGAAATATTGTATTGTTAGAGAATATAATTTTTAAACTATACATTATATCACATGCTCTAGAATCCTTGGAATTTGAAATAGAAGCCAAAGAGCTATGCCACGTAGGATTGTGATTATTTTTAATTCTTACAAACTTAAGGTTACAACTTTTTAAATGATTCTCAAATAATATATAGGGGATTTATTTGTTAATCTAAGGGTCAAGGTTTATCAGAGACAAAATGGATTTTCTTTTCTTTATTCTTCGTCATCATCCTCTCAGACTCTGCATTTTTTTCTCTTTCCCCATTCTTTAGTTTTCTAAATTGAAATCTGACTTTTTGTATACTTTTTCAAGAAAACTTATATTTAATCATTCTCTCTATGATTTAATCTATCTTTTAAGATGTGTCAAGACATATCTCTAATGATGATTTAATGGTGGAAAAAATGGCGACGTAGACGACAGTGGAAATATAGACGACGTAGAAAACCAATCATCCACCATGACAGTTTCACATGAGACACCACCAAAAATCATAGGTTCCTCCACAACCCTCCACAACGGCGCCTTCACATGGAACCACGCTAAAAAAAACATCCCCATCGTCGCTTCTTCTACCTCACAATTTTATACACAATCCTCATTTACTGAGTTGGACAAAACTGAACAGTCATAAGCTTCACAGTGTTGTTGTTACTGTCAGAAGGTTCTTATGGTTTAGGAAAAAGTAAAGTTTCAGTATTTTCTAATTTGCTTTAGTCATTTGTAAATTATCCTATCAAATTATCATGGAGAAAAGCTAATCATTTCTAAATTAATGGCAACTTTAACTGTGAACATGATGAATTTGGTTTGATCGTATATGCTTCACTCTACGGCTAGTTCGTGCTTCTTGTAGATGGGTTTTGTTTTGTTAAATAATAATTATTATAAACTGATGTTTATCGTTGATGTACACATGTACGCTATTAAACTTTATCGTACACATGTACGCTATTATACTATCTTACACACAATGAAGAGGAAGATGACAATGATAATGGTGATGATGTTGATGATGGTGCTGGTAAATTGAGTAATCCGATACGATAGATATATTATCAAGCTTGCCAATCTCATCTTTTTGTCGTGTGGATCCTCTGGACTCACATAATGCAAATTAAATTGAATTTTGTGTTTTGTTCATCAACTTTTTGTTCTTCTTTTTGGTTTAGTGTTCCTTTATAGATTGGCATATTCATGAAACTGGAAGTTTTTGTAGCAAAAACGTATCAAGACTGTTCAGTTTGAATAAAATGTTTGATGTTATGAATTTTTACTAATTTAAGAATTTGTACATATGTGTACATAAATAATATATAATATTGTACATATATACACTATATATATATGTACACAATAGTAACATTTGGATACTTTTCCCAACAAGGTTTGTTTGTCACAAAAACATCTTAATAAGTGTACACATAATTTTGTGTGTTATCAGATTTTCTTTACAAGACAGTAGTATACACATGATTTTTGTATTATTTATATCACAATGAGAATCAAAATTTTATGCTTATTTTCCTTGGTCGTCAGCGTGCCACATATAAGTTCAATATGTCGTTCTATGACTTTTTGCTCTGAATCAAAGCTTAGATTTCTAATAATTACATCTTTAGTCTTTAGTAATATACAATGTACATGTAAATATTGCTTTTAAGTGTTAGACATGAGTACACTACTATATATGTTGTATACATGTACACAAATACACCACCAACTTAGAAATATACAATATACAATGTACATGTATATATTATTTAGTCGGTGTAAATGTCAACAATCAAATATAATGTACATTTGAATCATTGTACATGTTAACAATGAATTTGTGTGTACAGTGTATCATGTACATATAAATACATACATATATCATTACAACAACATATATGTAAATCGTTGTACATGTGGACAATGAAATTTTGTGTACATAGTATATTTAATATTTTTTAATAAATGGTGTTTTCGTTATTTTATTATCTTCTTCCTAAATCAGTTAGGGTTTTCTGCACAATCTCTTTACAGCCGCCAGCAATTATTTTCACCTTATTCATCGATTCTTTTTTTTTCATTTTTCATGTTTATTATATCTTTAAGTTTGTAGAAATTTCATTTAAATTTATAGGGATTTAACCAAAACACACCAATCGAAAAACGTCACAACGACTCCAGATGGCCATGACGGTGAAGATGAGCGCATCAGAGTGATCTGGAGGTGATTCATCGACGACGATTGAGCCAGCAACAAGTAGATGTCGAGTTCAATTTTCTAGGTTTCAAAATTTTTAATTACAGTGACTTCAAGTAAAAACAGAGATTTTGGTGGTTTGGTGTTTAGTTCTCGTGAGCAGATTCTAACTTTTGACTATTAGAAAAATGTTAAACAAAATTAAAAAAGAAAAGTGAGAAGGTAAAAGAAGTGGGTCCCCGTAATTGATACTTTAGTTATGCTTTAGTTAGAAGAGAACACTAGATTTTGACCCGCACTTTCAAAGCGCGGGTTTACTTTTTTTTTTTCAATTGAAAAATATTTAGTAAATATCATATTTTCATATATTTGTGTTTTATTTTATAAAAGACTTAAACTTTTTTTTATCTTTCTTTATTGTGTTTCATTTTAAATAACTATTTACGTTTAAAAAATTAAACTTTATTTCTTTAATGAATTAAGTTGGTATAACTCTGATAAATTAATTTTATTATGTGGTTACTATTTTTAATAAAAATTATATAGTTTTGATAAAGAATTATACTTTTCAATGAAAATATTCAACTTTTTATGAATGTTTAAATTATATTAAGAAAAGAAAAAAATAATAATTAAGAAAATTGGTCAAAAATTATTTGAACTTGGACTCAATGTCCCAAAGAAAAAAAAAGATTGGTTTCTTAATCGGCCATAATGGCCCAAGAGAGATCTGTTGTGAACAGTGGGCTGGATCTGGAAAAAATGACCCATTATAGATGTGTTATTCATATTACTTGATTGCCCTTAATGAAACATGCAAGGTTAGTAAAGTAAAGGGTATTTTTAGGTAAAAAGCCAATAGGATCCTGCTTTAATAGTATAGATAAAGAGTTAAAGAAAGTGTCTCAGGAGCATAAACTGTTTTATAGTGTTAATAAGGGGTTGATTGGTAGAGCATTAGCATAAGCATTATGCTCTCTATTATTCAATCAACATTTGGCAAAGAAGCATTTAAAAAAGCATTTACCAAATGCAAATGCTCTCCAAATGCTCTTTGTTCAATGCTCTCATATAGAGCTTTTGGGAGAGCATTTGCATATAGAAAATATAAAACTTAATAATATTTATATATAATTAAATTATTTTTGTTTAAAAATATAAAAAATATTTTATAATTAAATATAAATTTATATTTTAAAATATAAAAATAAAATTATAAATATTATTTTTTAAAAGAACAATATTTCACATTTAAAATATAATATACTTTATATAATTACAGATATCATTCATTATTTTTAATAACAAACATAACATAATATGATTTATATATTATCAATATAAACATATTATTTAGACACTAATAAATAAATATATATTAACTTTTATGATAATTTTATATATGAGTAATTTAGTGCTCTGCCAATAAATAAATAAATTAATTATATTATATATATAAATTAATTATAATTTATATATAAATTATTATTATTTATTTAATAATTATTATAATTTAATAATAATTAATTAAATTATAACTCTAGTTTTATATATGAGTAATATGTTATATCCAAAATAATTTAATATTAAAAAAATTTAAATATAATTTATATAATGAAATTCATTATTTTTAATAAAATTATATATTATTTTAATATATTATATATATACATATTATTTTAAAAGAAATATATTATTTTACTAATTATTATAACAATTTTAAAATCGTATACTGCTAATGCTCTGCCAGTCACTTTATTAAAAACTTTATTGAAAGCATACAGCTTCTTTAGCATACTGCTTCTGCAGCATACTGCTACTGCTTTATCATATGTTGTACCAATCGAGGCCTAACTCTAGATAATAAATATTTGGGAAAACTGTTTTTAGACCAAATAGGTTTGGACATTGTCCCTTTAATCTAAATTATATTTTGTACCAATTTTGACTTTAATGCCTTTTATTTATTTCCAAAATTATTAAAAAAATAGATTTATGAAGCAAATGTTTTTTAAAAAATAGTACATAATGATGAAACCCCTATATTTATATAGGATATTTTTTCCTTGTTTTTAAAATGTGTTAATAATAATTTCATATATTATTCTACCGAAATTAAAATCCGTATACTACGGATTAGAATACGGAATCCACTTTTTCACTATTTCTATGAACTGCATAATATGTTTTCTACGGAGATAACACGAATCTAAAATAGTTTGGAATACACATTCCACGTTTATCATAGAGTTCTAATAAAAGTAGAAATTCAAATCTAAACTTTTACTTAAATCTAAAACTAGTAGAAATCGGAATCTACAATCTCACAACGTTCTAATACATGTAAAAACTGATTTCATATATTTTTACATAGTTCTACCTTTAGTAGAATCTGAATTCTATGGATAAATATTATAAGATCTGAAAATATAGCAAGAATATATCAGGAAATATTCGGTTTCCATATTTAAAATTCAAATTTATTTTTTTATTTTTTAAATATTATTTATATTTTAAAAAAAAATTACTGTGGATGAGGTGTAAATATGGAAACCCATCCGAAATTTTTTTAAATTTGATGGAGTATTACTGTGGACTAGGTGTATAATTTTAATTTCTTAAATTTAACTTTTTTTAAAAAAAATATTAAAATATAAAAGATTAAAAAAAAATATTTATTATATTTACACCCATCCGAAAATATAGCAATGATATAAATTTTTTTCTATTAATTTAGGATAATATTATATTTTAATATTTATTAAAAAAAATTTCAATTTTTTATCGTTATAATTAACCTAATTACGAATTAATAAATAAAACTATATAATTTAAGGATAGGATTGCCATTTAGAAAATATTTATCCTAATGAGACAATAAGTAAATCAAATTAACCTAAGGGGACAATATCCAAAGCTATTTGGCTTAAAAAAAAACTATTTTCTCTAAATATTTTTCTTCAATAATAAACATGACTCATCTTTCAAAATGGCTTATGCTCTTGATTATAATTTTTGACAAAATTTTAATTTCAAAAAAAAACTTGAGCTCTCTGCTTTCTGTTGCAAGTCATCTCCATCATTTTCTCATGTTTTTTAAAAAAAAAATATTTATATTAATTCAACCCAAATCCGAAAATTCAGTTTGGGTTACAAATTCGATTTGAACAAAAGTTTTTACGTCAATTTATTATATTTTAGTTTCGCTCACTCATTAAATCCATATGTCCCATTACTCTAATATTTAGGAATGGTTATTGTTCTCAGCCATTAACGATGATCGCTGGAGGTAAGGTTCTTCTCATGGTTTTATCTCATTTTCTGCATTATTTTTCTTTCATTCATCTATATCTTCTTTCTTCTTCCTAAAACAAATTTGACTCTGAATTTTCACTCCTTTATACAGTTTTATTTAGTTAGAAACTTTGAAAAATATTTAGTCAAAACACAGATGCAGAGTTCTTTTTTGGTAACAAACACACACACACACACACGCATGCAGAGTTTTCAGGTTTTTCTTGTTTTCTATAGACAGGTGACTGTAGACTATGTTTAGAAGGTGACAATCCCCGTAAAAAATATTACAATGGTCTTTTAAGACGACTCCTTAAGGTGCGAAAGAGTTTGCAAAGCTTTCTGCTTTTCCTGGCGAATATTCTTCATAGTTTCTCTCAAAGACTTAAACTCATTCTCTGCCTTCCATAATTCTCCTTTGTACGGGTTTTTCACATTTCTTCTCGCTGTCATAACTTTTATATATTCCTCTTTGCTTGACTCCAGAGCCTACAACAAACAATCAGAGTTTATATATCTATCATAAGTGATGAGTAAGAAAAACTGAAACTAAAGCGACTCAAAATCTTCCCTATAGATCAGTTATGATTACCTGAATCTGTTTCCGTAAATTTGTTGTAGACGGCATTGAATTCCATAAGGAACCTTTAACTGGAGTGTCACAAAATAATTGCTCTTTTTCCACTTCAAGTTTCATTAGTTTTTTTCTTGCTTTATCTCGTTCGCTTGTGCTATTAAGTCGCCATTTCATAGCATCATAGGCTGACCGAATCTGGTTCATAGAAACAAAACTGATAAGAAAAACAAAGTATTCTGAAATCTGAATATGATGGAATAAGGAAGTTATCATGGATGTTAATTAAGAACAAATCCAATACCAACAAAAAAATGAAAAAAAATGAAAAAAGTCTAATAAGGAAAGAAACATAACTTGTTGATGAAGTTCTTCGAAAGAAGAACCAGCTGAGTTACTAAGCTTATTAGGATTAGCCATTTTGAGAAGACGTCTTTCCCCACCCATGCTACGTGCCTCATGCAACATCCGATAATTTAGGTTCTGTAAGTATCCGGCCATTCTCGTTAGGTTTTGATTTAACTTTCAACATGTTGAGATCTAACTAAAAATTAAAAAGGAGCTAGAAGGAGAAATGATATGGGTTTTCTAACATGAATGTTAACTTCTGGTTCTCTTCCAGGAGAGAAATATAGAACAGCCTTCTTGTCACGATATGCGCCATGAGAGAAAGTTAGCTTTTCGAGCTCCATCTTTCTTCGATCCATTTCAGAACTGCTATACATATATATCGGCTTATCTGTGTAACTCCCTTTACAGTACGACTTGCCCCATGCTTTTGACTTGCCCCATACTTTTGACTTCGCACTTTCTAGATCAAGCTGTTACACATGTAGCAATATCAAAAGCCTAATTAAATTGATTCACGAGCTAGATATATAAAAAGAGTCAATGAGTGTTGATACCTGTTTATCAAAAACATCGTATCGTTGAATGTAACACATTTGTCGTTGTAGCTCTTCTACAATTTTTTCATTCTCTTCTTCTATTAACCTTGAGTCTCGGTCTTGGTGCTTCCTGGGTTGACCACGCTGATATTGATGTTTAACACTTTGGTTGATTTTCTTTCCATTAATGTCTACAGCCTCCATATTTCAGAACCAGATGAAGCTTTGGAAAATGGTTCTGTCAGCTTCTACGGGAAAATGGAAGATTGTTTCCGATATATGGTTTATCAATGTCGAAGAAAGTATTATGAATTCAAAGTACATGTCTCGGACTTTGATATTTATAAACTACTAATTACTATAAGTCCTTTCTCTATTATTCAAATAAGAACTTACGAAGTGATCTTTCTACACTAAGATACTCAGAACTTGGTTTGCACGCCACGAAAGGTGACAGCCACTTTTAATTTGTTTTCTTTATAATCGATTCAACCCCCACCATTAAGTTTTGGTCAAACGAGCAATCCTCTTGGCTCCTGAGTCCTGTTAGAGTTGACAGCCCCTTGAACAACATTATCAGTGTCCTTAACACTGTCCTTAACCTTTAATTTTATTATTTTAAACAAAAGTGAGTTAGGGATGAAATTTTCGTTTGTTAATTAGGGGACGTTTAATGCTTGTCCTTAAGGACACGTGTTGCGTAAAGACGTGCTCTCCTCTCTCTTCTGATTTCTCCTCTCATCTTTTCCACATTCTCCTGACTTCCTTTGATCATAATCCTCATCTCACATGGATTCTCGAATCATCGAAGACGACGAAGCGTTGACGTCACTCGCTGCCACTACTCCTCCGCATAGCAAGGCGCAATCTTACAGCCACCAACAGTTCAACGAGAAGCCACCTCACCACTAGATCCGCAAACACAGCCTCGACGAGGCTCCTAGATTCGCAACTGAAGCCGTCTACTTCGATTTCTCTGACCACGAGTTCTCCACCGGCGGAGGAGCCATCCTCAGCCAAGACAGCTTCTGCGACGGAAGAGGAAGACCGAATGGCGACGTTTCTAAGGATTCAAAAAAGTCCTTACCAATAATTAACAAAAATTCAAAAGTTCTTAATTTTGTCCTTAAACCCTAAAATAATCAATAATAATGCTAAGGACAAAATTTGGGTCCTTCCTATAATGTTGCTCTTATATAAACTTTATCAGAATTTTATATTTTCATTTATTATTCTCTAACATAAACTATGTTTACAAGTGACAATATACGGGAAACTGATCATTCTCATACCCAACACCCAACACCCAACATATAGTGATATTTCAATTTATACATCACTTATATCACCGTGCAAACACATATTTATATTTTATATTTTCGAAAAAAATAAATATCATACATCTTGTTTATGTTTTTGACGAAATCATATACTAGTCACCATATAAGCTATGTCACATCATTTAATTTTGTTAACGTAAATACTATATCAACTGGTTTTGATGATGAGGACGTCAAGTGTATAATATTTTTTGAATAAAAATAGTCATTTTATAAAATAAAATTTACAAAATCTAATCATTATGGAGTATATGTTAACTATTTCATAAAATTAATCAAAAATTAATTTAAAATAAGAAAAAAAATTATCTTATATAAGAGATATACTTGTTATAATATTTCAGTCCTATCGATTATTATTATGTTAATCTTCGTTTCTCTTTACAATGATTCAATGGTAGTGTTTGTGATCATGTTACTCTTAGTTAATTTTGATTATACTATCTATTTTAGTTAGAATTTAGATTGACATATAATAAATTCTCAATGTCTTAAAATAAAATTATTTGCATGATTGCAGATCTAAAATTTTTTATACAGCCATATAAACAAGATTAACACGTACGGGAGTAATCATTAAGATCATCAATTCCACAAATAATGTGTAGGAAAAGATAATAAATATGACTCATTTTTCAAAATGGTTATATTCTTAATTATACTTTTTGGCAAAATTTTAATTAAAAAAAGAAAAGAAATTGTGAGCTTCTCTTCTCTCTATTGCAAATCATCTCCATCACTTTCTCATGGTTCTATCTCATTTTCTGCATTTTTTATCTCTCTATCCTTCAATTCTATTTTCTTTTTTCATCTTCCCAAAAAAAAAATTGAGTCTTGAACTTTCACACCCTTATACATTTTTATTTGGTAAAAACACATGTAGATTATCATGTTTTTATTGTTTTCTATAGACAAGTGACTGTAGACTATGTTTAGAAGTGACAATTTTCATAGAAAAATATTACAATGGTTCTTAAGACGACTCCTTAAGGTGTGAAAGAGTTTGCAAAGCTTTTTGCTTTTTCTGGCGAATCCTCTCCATTGTTTTTCTCAAAGACTTAATCTCATTCTCTGCCTTCCTTATTTCTATTTTGTACGAGTCTATCTCTTTTCTCCTCTCTGAGAATACCTTCATCCTTTTTTCTTTGCTTGTCTCCAAAGTCTACAGCAACAACAAAAAAGAAGAAGCTGAAACTAAAGCTACTCAAAATCTTCTCTAGTTCGGTTATAGTAACTAGAAATATGATTACCTGAATCTGTTTCCGTAAATTTGTTCTGGACGGTAATGAATTCCATAGGGAGCCTTTTACTGGAGCGTCACAGAATAATTGTTCTCGTTCCATTGCAATTTCCATTAGTTTTTTTCTTGTTTCATCTCGTTCGCTTATGCTAAGGACTTTTACTGGAGCGTCACATTTTTGATTAGAATCTTTAACTATTTAAAAAAAAAAACTTTAATAATGCTAAGGACTCCAATGGTGTTCCATTGGAGATGCTCTAAATATACATGCTTGTTAGGTTTTGTTTTAACTTTCAACATTTTGAGACTGAGCTAGAAAAAAAAGAAGGATAAACGATTAGGGTTGTCTAACATGAATGTTAACTTCTGGTTCTCTTCCGGAAGAGAAATATAGAACAGCCTTCTTGTCACGATATGCACCATGAGTGAAAGTTAGCTTTTCAAGCTCCATCTTTTTTCGATCCAACTCGGAATTGCTATACATCATTTTTTCTCCGTAACTCCATCCATAGTCCAATCTGTAGTAGCTTACCTTCGACTTGGCACTGCCAATATCAAGCTGTTTTTTTTAAAGAGTAACATACACATGAAGCAATATCAAGCCTGGTTAATTTCATTCACAAGATATACACAGAGATAGTCATAAAGAGAGAGAACTATTTATTTCAAGAAGTATTTGAGTGATATCATTTCTCGTTATCCAAAATGAACACTTCTACAATCAATAAGCATACTTACCTGTTTCTCAAGAAGCTTTCGTCGAGTGTAAGACATTTGTTGTCGTAGCTCTTCTACTATTTTTTCACTCTCTTCTATTAGCCTCGCGTCTCGGTGTTGGTACTTTCTGAGTTCACCAGGCTGCTGTTGATGTCGAACACTTTGGTTGCTTTTCTTTCTACCAATTTCTGTAACCTCCATATTTTAGAATTAAATGTTAGGTTTTACAGAAAAATGGAAGACTGTTTCCGGTATATGGTTTATTAATGTGGAAGGGAATATTATGAGTTCAAAATACATGTCTCAGACTTTGATATATATTATAAACTTACTAAGTCATAAGAAGAGCTTACGAAGTCTTTCTACACTAAGATACACTAATTAGAACTTGGTTTGCACGCCACGAAAGTTGACAGCCACCTTTATTTTATTTTCTTATATCGATTCAATTACACAATAAAGTTTTTGGTCAAACGAGGAATCCACCTTTGATATACTTTCTCCAACCAAGATAAAAGTATAATAAAACGTATTAGGATTTTAGATGTCAGTTGTTATTCTTCTAACATAAAATTATGTTTACAAGTGACAATATACATATAAAAAAATGTCTGCTTCATCTCTAAGTTTGACAGACTCTATCTTCTTTCTTCCCTGTAAAACTACTTTTCTTTTTTCCTCTTTTTATTGTTTCCAAAGCCTACAACAAACACAACTGAACCGAGTACAATAATTTTTAATTTGGTGATGGTCACTAAATAAATTGGTTACCTCGCAAGTCCATCGTAGACGACGATAGTGAATTCCATAGGGAACCTTTGGTCGGTGTGCTTTACCATAAATAATTGAACTCGCTCCTTTGTTAGTTCCATTACCTTTCTCCTATCTTTCCCTCGGTCACTTATGCTATCATGTGGCCATCTTATCGAAAGATCATGGCCTATAACCTCCCACTCTGCTTGAAATAAACAAGCTATAATAAGATCGAACATGGTAACTAATAGTTATATCACTTTATTAAGGATATTTCACTAATTAATAAGAAAATGAACATATACAAATATATTAATAATTTACTTACAATAACCAAGAGAGTGGCTATTTTTAGAAAGCTTAAAAAATACTAACTTAACACATGTATTTTTGTCGATGTTGAATTGATACTTGGTTGTTAATTTTACTAAAAGCATAACTCAAAATTGCAACTTAAGTATAATACATAACAAATCATATATTAATTCAATTCTTTCTTTTAAAAAATATTCATAATTGGTGACATTTTTAGTTATATTCTTAACTCAACTTTAATCAAATGTAACTCATGTCACCAATCAAAACCATAGTCCATACGAAACCCAACTAAAAAAGTCAAAATGATTAACAACTTTATTTGTCAAAGATAGGGTAAAAGGAGCATAATTAACTTGTTGATCATATTCATTAAGAGATAAACCAGAATTACTATTCTTTTTGGGATGAAGCATGTTGATCAGAGATCGAATTTTAAGATAATTGACCGCTTAAAATTGCCACTCTTCGTATTAATCTAAAGGAAGTATAAAAGAGTATATTAGTACGTCGTACGTACTCTTCTGTCCATGTGCTTTAGCTGGTTAATTTAAAATTTATTATTCCCAATGATTAAAGTTTTTAAATTCCATATAAATATGGAGCAATCTTCATGAGAGGCTCGAGAGTGCTCACATGAAACTTCCTCGCAAAAAGAAAACACACGTTCGTCACCTCACCTTCGTAGCTACAATTCGACCCAAACCGGATCTTATCCAAAAACCCGACCCGGATATCCTTCCTCACAAACGTCGCTGGATGGGACCCACCCTTTGACCAATCCACCCACGTCACTGTCCGGTTCGAATTCATTTCCGGACATATTTTATTAACCAATGTCGGAATATAATGCTCGTCGATGTAACACGGCGGCCGGCAGTGATCCTTGAAGACGTTGTAATACCGGTGATCGGAGATGATCTCGGCGGCGACTCTTTGTGAGAGCTCGAACCACTGGTTTCCTTTCCTCCAGTCCGAGAGAGACACGTGTGGTAGCATTTTGGGGTTGTAACGGCCTCGGCCCATGGGCCTTGGGTCGTCGAATGAGCCGAGGAAAGAGCGAGTGGAGCCCATGAGGTAAGTGTAGACTGTGGTGAAGTTAAAGAGAGGGATACAAGTCTCGGAGAGAAGGACGAAGCGTGCGTTTGAAGGTTTTAGAAGCGCGTGTGATAACAGACGCCTCTCTGCGTCCATCATTGACGATTTACCCCATTCAACGGCCTGCAAATTTTCATAATATTAAATATCTATAACGATGAATGTTGTATATAACAAAACCATATTAATGACTATATATTATGCCTTGCTAGGTATCCGTTTCTTGTAAAATACTGAAGATTCTTGTGGCTCCTCTGTGAACTCTGGTGATGTATGGACATAAATGGAATAAAAATCTTCATGGCCTTTGAAGAATATTTCCCAAAGAGGGGACAAAGGCAAGTTCCATCTTGTCAGAAACATGAAGGCAACCTTTGGATGACTATGAGTCTCATTCATCACTGTGCCACTTGGTGTCATTGCTGCTCGCTGCATGAGCTCTTTGTCCGCCATGTTACTACCACGGCTATGAGGAGAAAGAGAAGGAGAAGTGAGAGGACTGGAGGTGAGATGATCGTCTTGGAGGAAGAGTGAAGTTTGGAGTCGTTGATTGAGGTAAAGAGCGAGGAGGATGACAAGAGATGAGATGGAGGTAAAGAAGACAACGGTGCCGAGGATGTGAATGTATCGGAGAGTGATCGGTTCTTTCTTCATGCGTACGTTCAGTGCTTTAATAAAGGCTGTGATCTTATGCTTCTTCATAATTTCTTTGTATATATGGAAAGATCTTACTCTTAGTGCTTATTGCTTAATTAGATAGTTCTTTGGCTTTCTCCACGTACGTCATTCAAGTCCTACAATTTTGTATGTGCATATATATAGTGCATGTGAATATGTGCCTATAGTATATTTTATAGTACTATGAGCGTTTTGGCCACAAAATAAGTCTTTAGAGGGATCGAAAGTCCATTTATTAATTGGCTCAGGTGAATTTGTTCAGAGAGACAACATGAAAACGTAATTCCATACTCATGATTAATTAATTAGTATTTTCCTAACCTCTAGGCATGATCATGTATGGATGGACGTGCATGGTGTGAGTAAATGTGGGGTTAGTGAAACGTGATTTAGACAAGTGAAAGAAATACAAGATGAGCATGAAAATTGAGGGCAGCGTTAAACTATTGTTAATCTCTATAATATTATTTGAGAAATCACTTTCTTAGGTATCTCACTCACGTTAACTCTCACGCTGGTTGATTACTATGATACCCCTAATGAATTATAAATACAATTCAATATTATTGATTTTTAAAAAATTTCCAAATAACAATATAAAATAAAAAGGAAACAATTATCAAGTTTATCAAACTATTTAAAAACGAAAATATAAGTATATAATATGGTTTAATAAAAAAAGGAAAGTTAACAAAATAATAATATTTAATTTAAATATATTTTTAAATAACATAAAATATACCTTTGAAGTAATAAAATACTTTATATCTATATATTCTCAGATAAAAAAAATATATTGCTATTAGAAAAAGAAATATTATTTGAGAAGTCACTTTCTTATGTGTCGCACTCACGTTAACTCTCACGCTGGTTGATTACTATGATACCCCTAATGAATTAAAAATACAATTAAATATTATTTATTTTTTGAAAATTTCCAAATAACAATATAAAATAAAAAGGAAACATTTATCAAATTTACAAAACTATTTAAAAACGAAAATATAAGTATATAATATAGTTTAATAAAAAAAGGAAAGTTCACAAAATAGTAATATTTATTTTAAATATATTTTAAATAACATAAAATATACCTTTGAAGTAATAAAAAACTTTATATCTATATCTTCTCAGACAAAAGAAACAACATCTCTATATAATGTGATTTCATAAAAAACTTTCACACAAAAATATTGCTATTAGAAAAAGAAATATTTTTGCTTTTAAAAAAATAATTTTAAACGATAAAATATATATATTTTCAAAATAATTATTTTGTATATATCTATCTATTTTATTAGATGATTACATAAAATAATCAACTAGCAGAAACTGATATATGTTTAATTGACATTTTTTTTATAATTAGTATTATTGAAATTATTTTTAGTATATTTATTTGACTATAATATCTTACAATTACAGTAAACATATAAATTCTATTTTACTTATATAGTATAATTTCTCAAAAATCATTTTTTCTGACTATTTTAAGAGATATTAAAAATAAAACTAAAAATAAATTTAATAATAAACATATTTTGATCAAGTAACTATAATTATTTTAAAATATCATAACACTATATAATTTAAGAAGGTAGATATATTATATTTTAATAGTTAAAATTATATGTTTTAAGAAAAAAAATTCTGATTTACTTACGTATTTTGATTTTGGTTATGTTAAGTTTCACAAACATAAAAACAGAAAATAACTACAATTATTTTAAAATACCATAACACTATATAATTTAACGAGGTATATATATATTATACTTTAATAGTTAAAATTATCTTTTTTTTTAATAAATCTTTTGATTTTTAATTTTCTGTTTTTATGTTTGTGAAACTTAATATAACCATAGTCAGAATACTTAACCAAATCAGAATCCTTATTTTTAAAATTAGTTAAAATAAATTTCAGTTTTACCATCCAGTTAATCAAAAGCATAAATTTATTTAGAATTTATAAAATAATTTAATTATTGTAAATATTGATATGTGTTCATAAGCTTCTAAAAATTCATTAGTTACTTATGTATATAATTTAAAATCAGACACTTTAGTTTTTATTTCTTTTCCTTCTAAGCACAAAAAAGTCTTAAGTTATATATAATCTTACTAAATATACTTATATATCTAAGATAACAACCAGAATAAATTCAAATATGACAACTAATCAAAAGTTTAATATATTTAAAATATAAAAGATTATAGTTGAATTCAGATAAATAGATATAATCTAATATATCTAAATGATAACTAAATCAACCGTAAAAACAATAAAACAGACTAAATATAACATATCTAAAATTATATATATAATTAAAGTAATATAGTGTTATAATATAAATTAGACATACAAACTATAAATTAATTTAAAAATTAAAGTAAATATCAATCAATTATTATTGTATATTTATTTTATAAATATCCATGCTCGTGCATGAGCACGGGAAAATCACCTAGTGTTAAAAAAAACGGAAGCCATACGTTATCTTTACTCAGTAGTTATCACTAGTATATATACTATAGGTAAATGCTACTAAATAAACTATATTATTTTTCACCTATAGTATTGCATGTATTTATATATAACAAAAATGAAAATGCCAAGGATGTATTGACATATAAAAATACAGATGTATTGATATATAAAAATACATATACATATCTAAAGCGGGCTAGGATTTTCAATTCCATTTGTTGTGATTTTTTCCTTCTGATTTTAATTAAATTGAATGAATCAAACGACAGGAATCAAAAATCTGATATTTAAAAAATACTTATAAGGCTCATTGGACATTAAGAAGGCCTAAACCCTTACCGTATTAAATAAGCTCAAAAGGCTTTCTATGCTTTACAAAAACTCGCTTCATCTTCAACAAAACAAGTGTATCCACCAGAATCCATCGAATTATTTGTCTACCCGTCTCCTTCTTCTTCCTCTTCCTTTCTCCGTGTTGACTCTTGAGCCGATCCAACCAAACAAACAACGCGATTCTCCGGTAAGTCAGACGACTTCATCTGATTTTCCACAAAACTCTTCTATACTTTCGATGCTGTTGTTTTTTTATGCGAGATTGCTTGCTCCCCCCCTTAGCTCTAGGGTTTCGAGATGAATTGAGCAGAGACGAGATTAATATTTAATATAAGAATTTGATTATTATTATTATCTCACCTGCTCGATGATGAGATCCTTTGCAATGATTAACCTTTTGTTGTTAAATCTGGATTTTGCAGAAAGTTTTAGAGATTTAATCTGAGTTTGTTATAAATCAAGAGATGCCTCGGGACTTGTCAAGATCGAGGTCACCTTCACCATCACCTTCACGTCGCAGGAAGCACTCGAGGTCTCCTGTAAGGCATAGGCATAGCAGGAGGAGCAGAAGAGACAGAAGCCGTTCTCCATACTCATCTTATTCCTATAGCAGGTGATACCCTTAATATTTTTATTAGTTACCTTAATAGTTTTTATTGGTTTATCACCGAAAACTTTTATGTAAGAAACTAAGAAACATTGGTGGTTATGTATCTTGCTGGCTAGAAATGTAATGTGTGTTTAAGCTCTATGCATCTTAGTTTTATTCAACTGCTTTTACCAAACCGTTCCTACTTCTATTGCCTATTCGTCTCCATATGAGAGAGCTCTAACTGGATTCTGCAGGCCTTATCGTTATAGTTTTTCTTTTTCAGTATGGTCTTGTTGGAAGCATATTTTAATTTTGTTAGATTGTTGTAAGACGTTCTGAGCTTCGCGTTTTAGATAATGCAGCCTGCATAGTGTTCCTGCGTAGTCATTATGATGTTCTTTTTAGATGGAGATTGTTAACAGTAAAGAGACAAAATAACCATATATACATATATATCTAAGTAAGATAGTATTATATAATGTTGAGAACATGGCTGAGAAATTAGGAAGAGGATCGATGCTTTTGCCATAATATTAGAAGCTCAAATTTCTTCCCGTTCTATGGGAGGGGAAGTGAGCAGGTAACGGATTGCTGTTGGCTATTCTTTCATTGATCCTTTGTCACATTAGCTTCTTCATGTGATAAATGTTGGAGCTGTTAATTCTTATCAGTGTATGAGGTAACTGCACATACCTTTTTTCCGTTATGTGAAGTTGTGGGCTACTTGATGCCTAGTCTTCATGTGCGTGGTATTTCATCAGTTGCAGCTTTTGTTAACTTCTTTATTTTGGGTCTTGTACAGAAGAAAAAGTCGTTCTATTTCTCCTAGGCGCCACCGGAGTCGATCTGTTACTCCTAAGCGACGTTCACCAACACCAAAACGTTACAAAAGACAAAAGAGTAGGAGCGCTTCTCCATCTCCTGCAAGAAGATCTCCTGCCACAACCCTTGAGTCAGTTAAAAATAAGAATGGAGAAAAACTAATTAGAGAAGAGGAAGAGCGGAAAAGGTAAATCAATTTAAAAAGAAAAAAAAAACTGGAATGAATTTTATGTCAAACTAATGTTTTTTGTTCGCAAAATGATGTTCTACTGTAACGTGAAAGTGCTTTGATTATTAGTCTTCAAAGTGCAACAGGTTTCATGGCATTCTCTCGCAGGCTTCGCTTAAAGGGAGATAAGCTATAATTCGACTTGTTCATAATTGATCATCTGGCACCAATGTTATAATTTCTGAGTCATTTACATGGATCTTGATTGAATTAGAGATAGAGATGTTAAAAGCATAAGAATAAGCTTAGTGCAGGTTTGTTTGTGTCTATAGCGATGTTAAAATATCCTTCACGAGTTACCCTTGCCCTTGAGAGGAAGGAAATCCAAACAGTCTCAAAAAAATTTATTGGTCTTGGCATAGTATTTTTGGTTCTTTTCTGTTCAAGATTGAAGACAATCAAGATATGAGAAAGGTCCAGGTGATATTTAAGGTTCCAAATCTGCTGTGGGTGTCGTCTAACTATTAACTATGTTTTATACCAGGCGACAGCGGGAAGCAGAACTGAAGCTAATAGAGGAAGAAACTATGAAACGGGTGGAAGAAGCTATTAGAAAAAAGGTCGAAGAAAGCTTACAGTCGGAGAAAATCAAATTGGAAATTCTAACACTGTTGGAGGAAGGAAGGAAGAGACTTAATGAAGAAGTCGCAGCTCAACTTGAGAAGGAGAAGGCCGCTTCTCTTATCGAGGCTAAAGAAAAAGAGGTAAATGTCTTCTCTTATCCTTAACTTACTTAAAATAACCTTGCTCTTGCCTAGCATGGAAAACTGTTGATTGACAAAAGAGTTTTGTTTCAGGGTGTGATGCAGTGTTTGTCACAGGAAAGAGAGCAACAAGGGAGAGAAGAGATGTCGAGAATAGAAGAGGAGAACAGGAAGAAAGTAGAAGAAGCTCATCTAAAAGAAGCAATGGAAAGACAAAGGAAAGAGGAGGAACGTTATCGGGAGCTGGAGGAGCGGCAAAGACAGAAGGAAGAAGCGATGCGAAAGAAGAAAGCAGAAGAGGAAGAAGAACGTCTAAAACAGATGAAACTGTTGGGTAAAAACAAATCACGCCCTAAACTATCTTTTGCCTTAAGCTCCAAGTGAATGGTTGAATTCAAAATGAAAATGGTTCTGTTGTGTTTCTTTCTCTCAAAGATGATTTATTAATTATTTGTTGGAGCTTAAACCCTTTAATGACTTTTATTATCCTGTAGTTCTAGCTTAATTTCTCGTTTGTAATTTTATGTCAGGATTAATGCATACTGAGTTATAAAGCAATGACCCAGTAACATCCATTCCATTGTACATAAAAAAAAATTTACAAAACATTCACAGTGAGGTTTTTCAATGTCAAATGTATAAAACCATGAAGAAAAAAACTAGATAATCTTAAAGAATGATTTTTGTTTTTGAGTCCTACATTTCTTCAGGGAAAACCTTATGAAGAAAATTGACAAAGCGTTTAGAGTAAGTGGTGGGTTCAGTCACAGAGATTGTCATGGGATCATACTGCAAAGACTTGCATTTATGCTCCACTTTCTTCTTGGTGTTATACTCCTGTAGAATATCTATGATTCCCATGTACACAACCACATCGTATACTTCAAAGAGCTCAATTGTAGCAGACTCTTCCTTGTCCTCATCAAGCTTGTGGTGAGCTTGAGCCGGCATGTTCACTCCTAACTGTACCCGCAGCCTAACAAAGACAATAGATGCAGTAACAATGTTAAGCTATAAATTAAATGAAGAAAACAAAGATAAGGAAATAAAATAAAACCTTGCGGTTCCAGGAAGAATGAGATCAACTTCTTGCTCTCCAACGGAAAATGCTCTGAGTGTGCTTCCTCTGATGTGAGGACCTGGTGCAGTACTCACGGAGTTGGGTTCGTGAGTCACCAATAACAATCCTTTTGGTGGAATGGAGAGTTCTTGAGTCACACCAACTGAAAATCAAAATATGAAACAGTAAGTTACACATACACAGCCCACTGCTTCATCGCTCTTGTCTTAAAACATTAGGTTACTTAACTCTTCAAGGTCATGAAGCCATCAAAAAGGTTTTTATATAATGCACAAAAGATATCTTCATGAAACACAGACACCTACCGTCTACAGAAGAGACGCTCTCTTGATCTGACATAACGTTAGGAGGCTCAAGGATATCATTAAGTTGTCCTGGTGCTCTAAAATGTAATCCCAGTAAAAGACTGTAGTCAATGATCTGTAGAGATTCCAAGAACGCGCAGTCTACGTAAATTTGCCTACCAAAACAAATAGGTTCCACAAACAATTAGAAACTTTCCAAATCCAAAACACAGCTGCTTAATCATTGCTTAAGGATGAATGCACCACGAAACTGTAAGCGATTTCAGAAAGAAAGAAGATATAGGCGCTCACTTGAAGAGTGCTTCCCTTAACAGCTTGTCCATATGAAATTCATAAGCTAGATCAAGATCTTTTAAGGTGGTCTTTTCATGGATTTTAATCTTTTCAGTAAATCTCCCATGTGATGAACCTTTAAGATCATATCGACGATGGATCTTCAGCTCTGTGCAAAACATATTCCCCATGACCACAAAGCGTACCTATCAAAATACCAAAAAAAAACACAAATGAAAACCTTACGGTATATAAAAAGGTTAAGGAACCAGAGAAGTTTCTTACCTTTTTCCCCCACTTGAGTGTGATTCTATGAACTCCAAAGAATTTGGTTATAAGTGTGTTTTCATGGTCCCCTACATGTTTATAGTACCTAGGCAACATTTTGAGTAGAACCTATAAAGCAAAAAAAAAGCTGGATGTTAAGAAAGGTTTTGAATCTTCCCAAACCACTATGGCTGGTTAAAGAGAATCAAATCACAGCTTTTAGTTCATACCTTCAACTCAGATTTTTTTAATGTCTTGATCACAAATCTGTCGTCATGTGAAAGGTAGAAGATACTGCCACTTTTCCCAGGGGAACATATCTCTGTCAGGCCATCATCACCACATATAGACATCATGTACTCTGCAGCATCTAACTTGAACATTTCCCTTAAATTCCTGAAACAAAAGGCACAGAATATCAAAATTTAATGAAAACAAACAATCATTTATCTCATAATTGTTTAATCCTTGAGAAAGGCAAAACAAGAGAAACAACAGAGGTATATAAGCCAGAGCTAAGATGTTCATAACTTTTACAAGTATCTTATCTACCTGAACACCATAGGACAATAGTCTTTCCAAGAGAAGTCAATAGATTTGTGTGGAGGTGTGAGATTAGAGCCGTCTCTAGGGAAGAACATCACTGTTCTGGCCTTCTTACCAAAGTCAGAACCACGTACCTCTCGCCTTGGCACTGGTGTAATTTTCCCAACAGTATACCTATAAACTTCCAATGATTCTTGTGTTAAAGAGGAATTATAATACTCATTAAACTTAGGGTGTTGTATATAGTTTACCTGATACCAAGTTGGAGATTTAGCATCAGATGATAGTTATGTTCCCCAGTAAGAAAAGTCAAGAAAGTCCTCGCACTGACTTGTTTAGTAAGAGTTGAAGAAGGTGACCTGTCAACAGAACTAGTCCTGATGATACTTTCTCTAATCAGAACTCCTTGCATGTATTCCCTTTCGTAAGCAACACGATTCTTATCCTGTCCCTCGCTTTTCCCTGAGCCAAAAGTCCGTGCAGACTTAGATGTCAACTCTCTTGAAAGATCAGAGCTTCTCTCCGCAAACCTATCCGAAGTGCTTAAACTCCTTAGCTCATTAACATCTATCGACGAGCTACGAGAAAGCACAAACTTCCCTGTATCATCATACTCAAGTGAGCGGCACCACTTCTTTAGAGAAGGATGTTTACTTCCAGCAGGATAAAAGATTCCTTTCCCATCTTTCACACCACGAGACCAAGTTCCAAAATACAAAGAACCATCAGCAAACTTATAAACACCAGAGCCATGTCTACACCCATTCAACCAAAACCCATCGAAAAGATCACCATTAGCCCATCTCATAACCCCTCTCCCACACATCTTACCCTTCTTCCAATTCCCTATATACCTATTCCCGTTGGTCCAAGAATAGCTGCCACGCCCTTCTTGTGACCCTTCTTTCCACGAACCATCATAAAGATCTGCGTTAACATACTCTTTTCTTCCAAGACCATGTCTTACATTCATCCTCCATGCTCCACTGTAAACAGATTCGTCTGTTGAAGTCATGGTGCCAATACCGTGGAGATACCCACCAGAGAAGTCTCCTTCGTATTTGGCTCCGGAGGACCATATAAGCTTCCCTTTACCAGAGATTTTGCCTTGGTCCCAGTCTCCTTCGTAGATAGTTCCATCTGACCATGAATATTTTCCTTTTCCATGAGGAAGCAATCCTTTAACTTCACCGGAATAGTAATCACCATTTGAAAATTCTTTTTCTTCAGGGATACTACTATACAAAAGTAATAAAATTTAACAAGGTGGAAAACAAATAAGGAATGTCTCTAAAGTGATTTGTTGAGAATGAGAACAAAACACACACACACACACACCTTGTATCCATCTTAGCTTAGCTTCTAGTGCTCAATAGATCATTGTTTCAGCTTTGGCTTCTAGTGCCCACTTTTTCTGCAGAAGAAGAATAAAAGATCAAATATTGCAAATCAGGAACTTCCAAGGATTTTGATTAAATTCTCAAATCTTGAAGAAGTCAAACCAATCCATACAAGAGGAAATAGCTATTGCTCCATTTAAATTCATTAATACAAAACAGCTAATTAAAAACAGAGAGACAGAGAGATAATCATTCGATTAATTAATACACACAAGTAAGAATCATTTGAGAAGATGACGATTTCATAGCTAATTCGAAGGAGAAAACAAAAACAAAATCAAAACTCAGACAAAACTCAGATACTAGGCAGCAGCGTACGGTGCTCACCTCACCGAGTAGTAGAATATCTTAAGAAGAAGGGAGAAAACCCAAAGATTGAGCAAAGAGCTTGAGAGGCTTTTCTTCCTGAGGATTTATTCTTTCTATATGTTACTGTCAGTATTTATGTTTCCCCCATGCACCAATGTTCCATTCAAACCACCTTTCTTTCTTTTTTTAGCGAATTTATGCGACATTTTTCTCTTTCTCTTAAAAAATATCTTTTATTAATATATATATTTACTGGTTCAAAAAAAAAAAAAAAAAATATTGACTGGTTCATATAAATTGGCACATATTTTCTTAAGATATATATATATATAGTCATTTTCTCTGTAAGTTATATCTGCTAATGGGTTCTATCATTTATTTTCAATTGTCAATAAAATGGAAACAAAGAAAATATTGACATCTTTGCCAAAAATAAATATAGGTAAGAAGAAAAAACTGACATGACAAAATGTAAGTCGGACTTAAATACGGGTTGTGAAATTTGTTGACCTTCTACAACTAATATATACTTGAGTCTCAGAGTTTTTGAATATATATGCATTATGATATACTATATGTAGCTGCAGCAATGAAAACAAAACACTAAATTACAAATTTCAGTTGTTGTATTGCTAATATATATTTGAGATAGCAAACTTAGATTTTGCATGCTTTTCAAATAGTGATTTGATGGAGTTGGTATATTGACAAACACTGCATATATAAATTATACACTAATTATTCTAAATTATATTTTAAGAACATGTAATTAAGTTAATTGTAGTCAAATGAGTTGTAGAGATTTTAAATAACGTGTTACTTCGATTCTTCCAATTATGAAAATCGAATTTGTTATTATACTAAATGTGAACATACTAAAATAATGTGAGATCTCTGATACGTCCGACAATCAATTGATTATAAATATATTTTTGTAAAGACTAGTCTCCATTGTATATAGTATCGAAATGAGTTTGTTTTCTCATGCATTACGGTCAAACCAATTTTTTAAAGTAAATCTAAGTTATCTAACTAAAGTTTTAAGCCAGATCAATATATAATTAGCTCTGATAATCTATGTTATCGTGAAATTGTACAACTGTCAAATCATTCAGAAGGTTCAAATAATCAAATCCATATTTGATTCGGAAGACGTTCGTTTATTAATAATCCCATATAAAATTATTATTTGTGTACTGTTGTCCGAAACAACGTATTTTCACAAATAATTGAAGGGAATGTAATCCTTTGGATATAGTTTTATACTTGAGATTTATACGCTCATTCAGAATATAGCCTAATAGTAATAGGCTTATAAATTAAAACATCCGCAAGGCTCTCTACCGGAAAAGAGCTTTATTCCCACGAAACAAAGGGCATTATTTCTTCAAAATATAGTTTATTAATTTTTTTTTTTTAGTTTATTAATTTTTATTTTTTTTGAAAAGAGAAAATATAGTTTACTGCATGTGTCTGCGTTGCAGAAAAGTGATTTGTAGAGTTACATCGTTCATGATTATATGTTGCAGTTCAAAAACAAAAACACTTTTTTTTTTTTTGAAAAAAGGGCAACAAAAACACCTTTGTAAATGCTTAAAAAATTCATTTTCACGTTTAAGGCCAACAAAAAAAAAAATCTTTGAATAGTTCAAAAATTATATTTTTCAATAGAATGTAGCTCAATGAATGTGAGACAAAACGAACAAAAAGTTTCAACCGGTGACCAAAAAAGAAAAGATGACAAAAGCAACAAAAAGTTCAACCATGTTGATCTGATCATATTTACATGCACGACGTTTTACGTTGAAATTAATCATAGCACGACCCAAAGGACAAATAAATCAAAGTACTCGACGAGTTGATGTAGACAAATAAGTTAAAGTTGACGTACCACTCCTAGCGCTCAGAATTTTGTGAAGAATAACAACAACTTGAAAAAAAAATAAAAGTCCCTGCTGTTTATATATGTCACTATAATTAATACTCCGATACTACTTCAAATATAGGTTTTAGAAACCAACTAAAATCACATAAAAAGGCTGTATAAGAAAACAAAAAGACATTTGCACCGTCCAGGATCAGATTTAGTTATCTATAGATAAGAAAGCCCGACCAGATATTTTTTTTCTGCTGAGGGTTTTAAATAACTAAATTTAGCTATGGGCGATGTTGACGTGGAAAAATAGAGAAAATACGAAACGATGTTGTGCGATACTATTAAAAGGGATGGGGACTTCGTGAACTGTGACAACACAAACGAACAAGACAAACAATGCATGATAGGATCCTCACCTTTTTTTATTGTTTTCCTTTTGCTAATTAAACATGGACCCCTTTACATCGCTTGTTAATTTTTTTATTTGTTTGCTTTTGATTTATTCAAGAAGTATACACGTACCACTTCAATATATTCGGCTAAAAACTAACTCATAATGAATTGGGGTTTGAAGAATAAGGTTCCAACTATTATATAATGCATTGATCAATATGCATAATTTCACTTTTAAAAAGAAAACACAATGTTTTAGTATAATACAAAATATAGTATTCCAATGACCTAAAGCAGAATTGCAATTTTTGCAAAGTATCAACATAATTTAATTCTTTTTTTTTATTGAATACGAATCATAGTGCCTTTTTTAGGATTGGACAATTTATCCGTTAAATTTGATTCGATTTGTTATTTGTTTCGATTTGATCCTAAAATTCCGGATATCCCTAAACTTTCGAATCAAAGCAAATACTAAAAATCAATATCCATTAAAATTAAAGCAAATCACAAATATTAAAAGTTTGGGAAGCGGATATCCGATCCGATCCGGAAATATATAAATAGATGTATATCTAATTATATTTAAAATTTTACATGTATAAAATTATATAAGTATTATTCTAGCACATGATTTTGAACAATTCTATTTACATTATTACCTATATAAAAGTATTACATAAAAAGAGAGAATTTTTTTATGATAATTATATTTTTTTTCTTAAATTTTTTGTTATTATAATTGTAACTTAACTTAAAAATTACAAAATATGTAAATTCACTAGTTTTTTTTTAAATTTTTATTTTATATATCATGCAAAAAACATTTTTGCAAAGCAATTTGTATCAAATTTTCAAAATTATTTGTATTAATCAAAATGGAAGAGATATCCGTAAATATTTGTAAATATCCGCAAATATTTATTTATTTTTCGGATATTCGTTTCCGGATATCTGTATTTTTTCGAAGCAAAGCAAATACCAAAATTAGATATTCGTAACATTCGAAACAAATCATAAATACCTTGAAAAACCCGGATAACCGATCCGTGCCCACCCTTACCCTTTTTAATCAACTACGATATATATCAAATTAAATTGCTTTGGGGACTAAACAAGCAATTGCAGTAATATGAATGTCTCCTGTATATTATATTAGGAAAGAACAACAAAATGGTATTGGAATAGATATTTAATAAGAAGTTGATGAAAAGTGAGAAAAGTGGTGAAGTGGGTGTCACGAAACGTATGAAGAGAAGTGTGGAGTGGGGCTCCTGCCGTTCAGTTCGTTGCAAAGAATCTCATTTCTTTATTTTCCCATCTTCTTCAATACACACATATTTGGACTTTAGAAAAAAAGTTTGCAAAGTGTTCTTCTTGTATACACATCAATATGAAAATATAAACATTTTTCCTTTGATTAAAAAAAAACATTTTTCCAACAGTAGTTATATTTTATTGGAAAAAAAACTCAGTACAACACATGTGGCGTAAGATTAACTAGGTGTTTTGCCCGCACATGCGAGCTTAATTATTTTTAAGACAATTTAAAAAATCATCAAAATAAATGATTATTTTCATCCAAAAAGTTAGACCTAAAACATTAAACGTTTTACATGATAAAATTATTCATAAATTAAAAAATAATCTATTTTTCCCTTTAAACTTTGAAAATAAAATCTAAAATCTGTTTCATTTCTTCTCAATTGATAAAAAAATATAGAAACCTATATTTCAATTTGATGAATTGAATCAATAAATATACATTCAAAAATTGATCTTACAGAAAGAATAATATTAGTTTGGATAATAATACAATATATTTGAATTTATTTTGTCAACAACGTATTTTTTTTCTTTTTAAATAATCTTTTATTTTATTATGATTAATTCATGTTTAATGTTATACTATATAAAATATGAAATAAATTTAATTAACGTGTGAGTTCAGAGTCGAAAAATTACTTCACAAATATATATCATTATGTTATATTATTATATTCTTTTAATTAGAAAATAATTATGTATTATAAAATTTTCAGCTTTCTCTTTTCATTTATGTACAATTAAAAGTTTCTTTATGAGTATTTATTTATGTGTTTTCTGTTTTTTATTTTTTATTAAAATATATTTTCTGAATAACAACACAATATTTATAGGAATTATCTTTTTTTTCTTTTTAAATATATATTTAGATTATGAATAATTCTTATCATTATTATTAATTTAAATCATTTATCTAATCAAATAAATATCAATTTCGTTTTTATTTTATATCTAATTTATATATTTTATTCATTAAGGGTATAAACGATATTAGCCACTCTAACTTTCAACGTGAGACCTCCGTTGCGAAAAAATCACTTTGCAAATAATAGTGTAGATACTCAAACAAACCGGAAACTACTTTCCGACTAGAGATTTATGAAATTTACAACAGCGTATTTATAAGATTAACTAAGTGGTTTAATTAATAAACCTACAATTTTTTCCCCTGTTAAAAACTTAAAACACAAGAAATATGCATGATGAACCAACAGTAAGGCCCGTTGGACAAACACTCTTTAGGTCATGTTGAAAGCCCAAAAAGGCCGAAACTACAAAGGCTGCTTGATTCTGTAGCTGTAGAGCTTTATTATTCTTCCGTTGAGTGATAGGTTCGGGATTTCTGATAAATTTACGATGGGATAGGGTAATTAATTAGTGAAACCATTTCTGATAAATTTACCGTAATACCCCTCCACCTCTCTCCAAACACATAAATGTAAATTATTATTAAAAAACAGGGGTAAATCCGTAAATAAATTAGAAACAATGTATGTTCGTTCGGATGTTGCGGTAATAAGATACTCTCGCTGCCTTTACTCGTTAGCTCGAAGAAGAACATGGAGACACCAGTTCTCGGTTTCGAAGCACGTTGTCCTCATAATCTCTTCACCACTAACTCTCGTCCTTCCTCTCTCCCAGCCTCCACCGTCTCCGTACGAAGTCTCACAACAACAACAACAACAACAACCACCGTCGCGAAATCACCGGAGACCGTAGTAGTAACACAACATCCTCGTACAAAGCCTCACTCCAAATCCTTCCTCACAAGAAAATCAGCAATCTCCGAGATTGAACAGTCCCCTAACTTCCTCTCCTCTCTCCACAGGTAAAAAAAAGCATCAATTTTTTTTTTTGCTTCCAACTCTTAATGATAATAAAAAGTCTCTTTGTTGTCACATATGCAGATTAGCTAGAGTTTTGAAAGTTCAAGACTTGAATGTGATTCTTCGTGATTTTGGAATCTCTGGACGATGGCATGATCTTATCCAGGTTTAAACTTCGATTTTGAATTAAACATAAAAAGATTCATTCTTATTTTTCTTTTTATGTTTTTTTTGGCAGCTCTTTGATTGGATGCAACAACATGGAAAAGTTAGTGATTCAAGTTACAGCAGCTGCATCAAGTTTGTTGGAGCTAAAAGTGTCTCAAAGGCTCTAGAGATATACCAAAGCATTCCAGACGAGTCTACAAAAACCAATGTCTATATATGTAACTCCATCCTTAGCTGTCTGGTCAAGAATGGGAAGCTTGATAGCTGCATCAAGCTGTTTGATCAGATGAAGCGTGATGGTCTGAAACCAGATGTTGTTACATATAATACGGTATGTTATTACTAAGCATATATCATTTTGTATTTTTTGTTTAGGTTATATAATATTTTTTTTCTTCTTTTGTTTTGATGTTTTAGCTGCTTGCAGGTTTCATCAAGGTTAAGAATGGATTTTCTAAGGCTATGGAGCTTGTGGGAGAGCTGCCACATAACGGGATAAAGATGGACGGTGTGATGTATGGGACTGTCTTGGCCATTTGTGCTTCGAATGGTCGATGTGAAGAAGCTGAAAGTTTTATTCAGCAGATGAAAGATGAAGGTCATTCGCCTAACTTGTATCATTACAGCTCCTTGCTCAATTCTTATTCTTGGAAAGGAGATTACAAGAAAGCTGATGAGCTGATGACTGAAATGAAATCTGTAGGATTAGTGCCAAACAAGGTTTGTGTTTGTTAGTATTTCTCTTCTCATGCAATCACATTTGTTGTTAATTTATAAGAGACTGGTTCGTTCAGTATTTTGATTCCTTGTTTCTTGTATAACTCTTATCTGAAAATTTGGTAGGTGATGATGACAACTTTACTAAAGGTTTATATTAAAGGAGGTTTGTTTGAAAGGTCAAGAGAATTACTCTCTGAACTTGAATCTGCAGGCTACGCCGAGAACGAGGTAAAAGCTCGCTGTATATACTATAGACAAGAACAATATAAATCTGGCTGCAAATGTGTATTTTTTGCAAAATATTGAAAGGAGTAGTTACCAATAATATTTATCATGTGTGACGACCAATGTACCACTTTCATTTACATAATTACATGATAGAAAACATTGCTTATCGGTATGCGATCTTTGTATAACTGTATTGATTGATGCTCATATAATGGTTCTCTATAAGCTGCAATCTTTTATGTTAAGATTAAATTATTTTCTTCTGTAGATGCCATATTGTATGCTGATGGATGGTCTTTCAAAGACGGGGAAGTTAGAAGAAGCAATGACAATCTTTGATGATATGAAAGTGAAAGGTGTTAAATCTGGTATGCTTTTTACTGATGGTTAGCAAGCAAGTTAGCTTTCATATTTCATTCTTCACTGTTCCATCAATTGCTGTTTTAATTTCCAATTTTCTGTTAACAGATGGCTATGCAAACAGCATCATGATAGCTGCTTTATGTCGAAGCAAGCGCTTCGAGGAAGCAAAACAACTTGCAAGGGACTCTGAGACCACTTATGAAAAATGCGACTTGGTAATGTTGAACACAATGCTCTGTGCGTATTGCAGAGCAGGAGACATGGAAAGTGTTATGCGAATGATGAAGAAAATGGATGAGCAAGCCGTTAGTCCTGACTATAACACTTTCCATATCTTGATCAAATATTTCATCAAAGAGAAACTGCACCTACTTGCCTACCAAACCTTACTTGACATGCACAGTAAAGGCCACCGGCTTGAGGAGGTAACTAGCATCAAGCCATTTTTATTGTGAGTTATCAAAAATGTTGCACTCTTTCACAACTTAATGTTGAAATTTACAGGAACTTTGTTCGTCCTTGATATACCATCTCAGTAAAATTAGATCTCATTCAGAAGCATTCTCAGTCTACAATATGCTGCGATACAGCAAAAGAACTATATGCAAAGAGCTGCATGAGAAAATTCTCCACACTCTAATCCATGGGAAACTCCTTAAAGAAGCATACGTTGTAGTGAAGGTTTTTGAAATCTCCCTTAAGAAAATTTTAACATTTGGTGCATTGTGTGAAGCCGTCTAAACTGGTGGAAACTCTGTATCAGGACAATGCGAAGGTGATCTCACAACCTACTTTGAAGAGATTTGGTAAAGCTTTTATGGTCGAGGGGAATATTAATTTAGTAAACGATGTTCTGAAGGTCTTACATGGTTCTGGCCACAAAATCGATCAGGTAAAATAAAACCAACCGGGAACAATTTTATTGAAGCTAATCTATTACACGTTTTCCTTGCAAGGACATTACAGTTGAACTATATTCTTTTGTTCTTTAGGTTCAGTTTGAGATTGCGATTTCAAGATACATTTCGCAGCCAGATAAAAAGGAATTGCTTCTTCAACTACTTCAATGGATGCCTGGTCAAGGATATGTTGTTGACTCCTCAACAAGAAACCATATTCTTAAGCAATCTCATTTGTTTGGTCGGCAACTCATCGCAGAGATCTTGTCCAAGCATCATATCGTGTCAAGAACGATGGTAAAGTCTCGCTCTGAGCCGAAGTTTAGTAGAGGTCAGAGAAGTAAATAAGAATGTAATAGATGTATGTACTTTGTTTCACGAGATAGATAACAGAGTAACATTTGTAGATGTGCTAATGAATCAAACAAAATAAAAAAAAACTCCAATGATTCACTTCTTTGCAATATCTCCGTCTTAATATTCTTCTCCCTCATGTCTCTCTGCACCCATCCCCTTTTCTCCCCAGCCAAAACCGCCAATGTGTAGAGAAACAGGCGGATGCGTTTTAGCATCAGCCACTATCTTCATGATCTCTTCAGCAGTCTGGATGGAGAAGCTTTGGTTCTCTTTCTCGAAATATGCAGTTTGAGCCGTCTCTGTGAGCTCCCCTTGTAGATTTTTCAGGAACCATGGGTGTTTCTTGATTTCTGCAATGGTTATCCTCTACGGATTAACATGGCCAAAACAACTTAATAAATCGAAGAAAAGCTCCTTCTTTCGAACACACATCTGCTTCATTTGATTGATATATATACCTCGACTGGTTTGGCCACAAGTATAAGGGAAAGGAGATGTTTGCAGTCCTGTGAAATATTGACGTCTTCTGGGATCTTGTACTGTACATGCTTTATATTCTGCAAAAATAAACAAGATAGACACATTGGTGAGGAAGATGTGGAGAAAGCGCTAAACAGAGAGACCTACTTGCATCGTTTTCCCGAAGTTTCTGTGGCCATTCTCGTTTTCAAATGGGCGTGCTCCTCATCATGGAAGCAGATGATTATCTTCAATTTGTTTCGTTTGTGCAAATGACTAATAAGAGCAAGATCCACAGGTTTCCTTCTTCTTCCTTCCCTCCTAAGTCTACTAACTATCATTTTCACATAAGTAAAAAAAAACAAGACTCACATCATCCTCGCTGAATCTTCCATCTCTCCGTACATGCTTATACAGTTCACCACGAGCAGCATATTCCATGACAATGGCAAAGACGGGTTGGAGTCAACACCACCTGTTTAAAAAATCCAGAAATTCACAAAAGTGTGGAAGATGAGAGGTTTACCTAAGTTACCGATTCTAGTATATGTGTATAACTTGACTACATAACCTTTTCAAAAATTGTCAATGATGTACAAAGCTTTAACAAAAAACAAAAAAAATCACTGACCTCTTTAAATCGGAGTACATTCGGATGGTGAAGTGATTTATGTTTCATAATCTCTCTTATCAAATCTTTAGAGTTTTTGACCCTCAGCACCTATAGCTTTCACCACCTCGTACTTCTCCATTATCGACAAAACTCAACTCCAGTTCAAATCCCTACCAGCCAGAAACCTGTAGAATGAAACCACCATAGCTACTAAAGATGAAGGAAGACTTGAAGGTGATGGTATTCTACAAGAAATGAATAAACAATAAGAAAAAGAAGCATTGACTTTTATTGGTGAAACTCTACGCTTGATTATTGTAACCGCTTGCAGACAAAACTCAGAAAGAGAAAACAAAGAGTAAGAATACGAAAACAAAAATCTAATTTACAAAATGAGGTCGCAATGTTCATACACTGTAGAGGGACTCATAATCAACCTCTGTTTGTTCTTCTTATACTGCGAATTTTACAAATCTTCAAAAAAAAAAAAAAAAACCAAAGCATTGTAATTGGCAAAGACCAAAAAAAAAAAAACAGAGAATTTTACGTTTCAGCAAACCAACGACAACTTCTTTCTTACACACCCACAAAACCAAACAAAAAAATCAACTGATTCTCACTTCTCCGCTCGCGTGTACTTGCTTTACAGTCTTATCATATTCATCTTCTTCGTCTTCCTCCTCCTCTACCACCTCCTCTTCATCCACCTCCTCTTCCTCTTTCCCCTCTGCATCTTCCTCTCCTCCCCAGCCAAAACCTCCAATGGAACGGGAAACAGGGGGAGGCGTTTTGGCGTCATCCACTATCTTCATGATCTCTTCAGCTGTCTGGAGGGAGAAGGTTGGATTCTCTTTCTTGAAATATGCAGCTTGAGCAGTCTCTGTGAGTTCTCTAGGCAAGTTCTTCAGGAACCACGGGTGTTTCTTGATTTCCGCAATGGTTATCCTCTGCGAAAACAACAGATTGTCAAACAAAACTATCTTTTATTAAACATTTTGAGCTCATTTGATTGAAGTGTATACCTTGACTGAGTTGGCCACAAATATACGGGAAAGGAGATGTTTGCAATCTTGTGAGATGTGGACGTAGTCCGGGATCTTGTACTGAACACCCATGATTTTCTGTATAACAACAAGATCACACATTGATGAACAGTTCCTGCGAGATATATGATTCAGAAGAAGAGACCTACATGTATAGTTTTCCTGAAGTTTTTGGGATCTTCCTGGTCTTCAAAAGGGTATGCTCCAACAAGCATGACATAAAGAGTTACACCACAAGACCATACATCAGCCATCTGAAAGAAAGAGGAGATCTTATGTAAAACTCATTGCAATGAGCATGATGACCTAATTTACCAAGACTCAAATAGCAATAAGAATACCTTGCCATCATATTCTCTCCTCGAAAGGACCTCAGGTGCAATATATGCTGGAGTTCCAACAGTTGATTTAGGCCTCGAGTGTAGTAGAGAGGACTACAAAAAGAAGAATAACAAATCGCTCGACAATGGGGAAGAAAAAAGAAGACCTTATATAAAAAGGGCGAACTTGGTAGTATTTGTAAAACGCCAGACCTTGGAATAACCAAAATCACAGATTTTGAGACGTGGAGCAGGACTACCATCCAAGAGTGTATTCTCCAGCTTCAAATCTCTGTGGCATATTTGCTGCAACAAAATGGAAAAAAAGGTGAGAACAAGATTGATAAACGAACTGATCTCAAACATCTAGGGAATTAGTAATTTCTTCTCTCAGTATATATATAGTTGCCTTACCATAGCATGGCAATAGCTAACACCTGATATAAGCTGCTGGAAGAAGTATCTCGCCTGGAAAATAGAAAAAAAATGATCAAAAATGTATATATCATATATACGAAGATTCACATGTTTTATAACTATCTTAAATAGAACTTTCAAAGTATTAAAAAGAAAGACCACAATTTTATAGATGAGAAGGCTGACCTCATCCTCACTGAATCTGCCAGCGCTGCAAATACGCTCGAAAAGTTCACCACCAGCAGCATATTCCATGGCAATTGCAAGATGTGTTGGAGTCAACACCACCTGTAATACAAATCAACTTTCAAGTAGATATCTTTTTTCACGGAGAACACATGTGGAAAAATTTACAAACCTCCTTAAAGCGGATGATATTAGGATGACGAAGTGATCTGTGATTAATGATCTCTCTCGCCACATTCTCATCAATCTGTATCCAAAAGCAAATGCTCAGGAAAAAAATGGATACATCAATCTGAGATAAACTAACACTACAATGAGGTAATATCAGTAAACCTTGGGACCACGCTCGATGTATTTCATGGCAACAAGTTCCTTCGAGTCTTTGACCTTCATCAGCCTCGCTACTCCGAAATTCCCTGCTCCTATGTCTTTCACCAGCTCGTACTTCTCCATCTTTTTGCTAACCCTAATTCCAATCCAAAAAATCTACAAAATTCTCGTTGAAATTCTCCCCCTAGTACCAGCTAAAAAACAATTTAACGGTGAAATCGTGAATACCGACCAAAAAACAAAAAAACAATCCAATCAATATCGGAAAATCAAGGTTGCGATTCCGAGATCTCGCGATTCGCAGAGAATCGTCTTTTAAAGAGATAAACGGTGATGGAAGCTAATTGAGATTTGAAGCCAAAGCTAAGAATCGTCTTTTTTTTCTTTTTTTCTTCGGATAATTATAAATGATGATGATGAGAATGAGAATGAAGAATCTCCCCTCTCATGATGCTTCCTCTTTTTACAAAGTGGGACCCTCAAATTTACCATGCTCAATAAATTCACTGTAGGCTTTATATGGGCCTTTAAATTAATACATGAGGCCCAATTAACTGATTGATAACGAGTTTCTGAGTTTTTTCCTTATTATTTTATTACCCAAAGCGATACACAAAAGATGCTTCCTCTTTTTACAAAGTGGGACCCTCAAAGTTACCATGCTCAATAAACTCACTGTTAGGCTTTATATGGGCCTTTAAATTAATACACGAGGCCCAATTAACTGATTGATAACGAGTTTCTGAGTTTTTTTCTTATTATTTTATTACCCAAAGCGATACACTTAGAGGATCTTGACCAAACATCATCAACACTGTCTTTCTCTTCGTTTGGTCTCTCGATCACTTCCGAGAAACGACGAGAGAGCTGGCTACACTGTATTGTTGTCATCATACGCATTACACTCGAATTTGAATCAGATCATCGAGCTTACTTACCCATTGCTCTATCTAACGCATTTTCATCACCGTCTCCGTCTTCCTCAGATCTGATCATCCGCAAGGTTTCGCGATGCCGTCTTCCTCCTCCTTCACCGCCGCCGCTGTTTTCTTTCTTCTCGTTTCTCTTCTCGCATCCTCTCTCGCCTCAGATTCAGATCACAAGGTTAGACTCGGATCTACCGTTGCCTGACATTCCGTTATCTTTTTTTAATATACAGCTAATGTCTCTGTAGATCTCGTGATTTGCATGGTGTTTGTGAATTGATTTTTTTTTTATTTCCTTTTTGTTCATTAGGGAAGATTTATACATTTTTGTTTTTTTTGGCAGTATCAAGCTGATGAGCAGGTTACATTGTGGGTGAACAAAGTTGGGCCATATAACAATCCACAAGAAACGTACAACTACTACAGTCTTCCCTTTTGCCGCCCCTCTCAAATGGATGTTCACAAATGGGGTGGTCTTGGTGAAGTTCTTGGTGGCAATGAGCTCATTGACAGCGAGATCCCTATCAAATTCTTGAGTATGTTCTCATGCTACCATCTTTAACATTACTAGTTATCTTATCTTAGATGTGTTCTAATCATAGTTACCTTTTTCCTCTCTTTTGTTATTTTTTTCCACAGAAAATGTTGACAGGGACGTTATCTGTAAGCTTGAACTCGATGAACCTAAAGTCGAGCATTTTAAAGATGCCATCGAATCTAGCTACTGGTTTGAGTTCTTTATGGGTATGTTGTTTCACATTTCCCTTGTACACATTCCTGCTGAAGTAGCTTGTAGGATATGTTATTTTACTATTTTCATATTGATAGACCTGGAAAAGTAACTTCTTTCAAATTCTAACAACTTTTCTTTTTTTTTTTCGGGTGGCATCTGATATGCGTGGACTGTCATCGGGTGGTTTTAACTTCAGATGATCTGCCTTTGTGGGGTACGAGCTTTTATATTCTTACTTGTAGTTTGCAAAAATAATAATTTTTCTTTTCTAGTTTTAGACAGTGTTAATTCTGTCTCATCGCTTTTGTAGGATTCGTTGGTGAGCTGCATTCTGACAAAAATGGTGAAAACGGCAAGCATGTCCTCTACACTCATAAGAACATTATCGTCAAATACAACAAAGACCAGGTCGGTTGTTGCGACGCTATTGAGTAATAATATGGATATCATGTGAGCTACATGCTTTGAACTTATTATTTACTTTTATAGATCATTCATGTTAATCTCACTCAAGACAACCCAAGACCACTTGAAGCAGGGAGGACAGTGGATCTGACTTATTCTATTCAATGGATTCCAACAAATGTCACATTTGCCCGTCGTTTTGATGTGTATTTGGATTATCCCTTCTTCGAGCATCAGGTAACTTTTTTTGCTTGTTATCTTTTGTCTTTTGATTCTGATTGGTTCACAATTTCGCAATGTATTCATGTCGTCATATTGTTTGTTCAAGCTGTATAAGCCTTCTTAGAGTTTTTCTTTTTGGTTTTGCAGATCCATTGGTTCTCCATCTTTAACTCGTTCATGATGGTTATTTTTCTCACTGGTCTGGTCTCAATGATATTGATGAGAACTCTCAGAAATGATTACGCGAAGTATGCTCGTGAAGATGATGATCTCGAGAGCCTGGTGATATTTCCTCAGCTTTTATTTGACATAACTGCACGATATTTCACGCTATTGCCACTCTGTTGGCAGCATGTCCAACGGCTTAATTATTTATTTTTGAGGCTGTAAGACGGTTTCTGACATTTGTATTGATGGGCACAGGAACGGGATGTAAATGAAGAATCTGGGTGGAAACTTGTGCATGGGGATGTGTTCAGACCACCATTTAGTTTAGTTCTTCTCTCAGCTGTTGTTGGCACTGGTGCACAGTTGGCGTTGCTTATTCTTCTTGTCATATTAATGGCCATCGTAGGGACTCTATATGTTGGGTACGTATTACACTCTTCTTCTCACGTGCCAACCTCTTTATTCTTTGTAGTACTTTTGGTTTGATTTTGCCAACATCGTATTCTGATTATTTCAGGAGAGGAGCAATCGTCACAACTTTCATAGTTTGCTATGCTCTGACTTCCTTTGTCTCTGGTTACGTGAGTGGTGGAATGTACTCAAGAAGCGGAGGTATGACCTATTGTTCTTGGCATATCTATCCTTATGTTACCTTTCATAGTTTGATTTTCAAAATTTATTTTTTAAACGTCTAATTTGTTCAGGCAAACACTGGATCAAGTGCATGGTCCTCACGGCTTCTCTCTTCCCCTTTTTGTGCTTTGGCATCGGCTTTATCCTTAACACAATTGCCATATTCTATGGATCCCTTGCGGCTATTCCGTTTGGGACAATGGTGGTTGTGTTTGTAATTTGGGGTTTCATTTCCTTCCCCTTAGCTCTCCTCGGGACAGTGGTTGGGAGAAACTGGAGTGGTGCTCCAAACAATCCATGCCGTGTAAAGACTATTCCACGTCCAATCCCTGAGAAAAAATGGTACTTAACTCCATCGGTAGTCTCCCTGATGGGAGGTTTGCTACCATTTGGAAGTATCTTCATCGAGATGTACTTTGTCTTCACATCCTTCTGGAATTACAAGGTAATAATAGTAGTTGCTTTGATAACAAAGCTAAGAAACTCGAAACAGCTACGATCTGCTACATGAAGACCTAGGCTTGTTATGTTAGGCCTACATTCCTAATAGCCATTTTGTTGTCTTTGGCAGGTGTACTACGTGTATGGATTCATGCTGCTGGTTTTTGTGATTCTAGTGATAGTGACGGTGTGTGTGACAATAGTGGGAACTTACTTCCTGCTGAACGCAGAGAATTATCACTGGCAATGGACTTCGTTTTTCTCTGCTGCGTCAACGGCGGTCTATGTCTACCTATACTCTATATATTACTTCTACGTAAAGACGAAGATGTCCGGATTCTTCCAGACAAGCTTCTACTTTGGGTACACCATGATGTTCTGTCTTGGCCTTGGAATCCTTTGCGGTGAGCTCATTCTCTCCACTCTCTTCAAAACTAGTGTTTGGTGTTACTGGTTTAAGTAATATTTTCTGTGTATGAAAATATTTCAGGAGCGGTTGGATTCTTGGGATCAAATCTGTTTGTAAGGAGAATCTATAGAAACATCAAGTGCGACTAGACGAATTGAGAAGGAGGCTTGTTATGGTGGACATACATTATATATAAACGCAGTAGAGGGAGAATATATGTATCCTTCAGAGGGGGGCTTTTTGTCAGTTTTTTTCTTGCTTTTTGGCGACTGAACTGTTCTGTTTAGATTAGAATTTGAGTGGGTGTAATATACAACTACTACTACCTGTAATTTTTCCCCTGTTCCTTATAACTTCACTTCACTTGGATCATTGAATGTGTGTGTGTCCTGACAAGTCTAGAATCATCCCAAGTCCGAAGCCCAACCACATATTAACCAACTCTCACCATCATATTATAGCACACACAAGAATCCACCAAGAACACAAGCAGCCACACATCGAACGTCATGTGGCAGATAATGTTCAACTCACCTCTTTTATAATCCTCTGCCATTTCAAGAAACGCCACACGGTCTCACAAATAAGAATCATCATCTTTCTTTCTCCAATGGCTTCCACTGCTCTCTCCAGCGCCACCGTAAGCACATCCTTCCTCCGCCGTCAGCAAACACCAACCAGCCTCAGATCTCTCCCTACAGCCAACACACAATCCCTCTTCGGCCTAAAATCATCTACCTCTCGCGGTGGCCGCGTCACAGCCATGGCTACCTACAAGGTGAAGTTCATCACACCAGATGGAGAGAAGGAAGTGAAGTGCGACAGTGACACGTACGTCCTCGACGCAGCAGAGGAGTCCGGAATGGATTTGCCCTACTCATGCCGTGCGGGAGCTTGCTCGAGCTGCGCGGGGAAAATAGTCTCTGGCTCCGTTGACCAGTCTGACCAGAGCTTCTTAGACGATGACCAGATCAGCGAAGGGTTTGTTCTCACTTGCATCGCTCGTCCAACTTCTGATGTCGTTATTGAAACTCACAAAGAAGACGCCATGATTTAAATTACTCAAAATACTCACTTCTATTTCAATTGAATCATCACGTTAGATAATAATGTATAATAAGACTGATCATGTCATCCTTTTTCGATAATCTGTTTCAGTGTTACAGTATTTTACGTGGATGTCAAGTAATTACAACTTAAGCAAAGCTTCAATAAGAGATAAAGAAACGGGACGAACCAAGTCCTCCTAAACAACTCAAACAGTGTTCCTCCACCATCACCATTATGTTTCTTCACTCCCACTTGCTCTCTCCTTCCCTTTTAAATGTATATTAAGGCTGCTTCGAACCGATGCTATTGAATGTTTCAGACAGACATTTCAAAAAAAAAAGAAGCCTCTTTCACCCATATTTATATTTTTTATTTTAATATCTCTGTTTTTCTTTTGGATTTGGTTCAGCTTTTTCTCTCCTCAAGCCGCTCTGTTTATCACTACCATTGACCTTTTCTAGTTTTGGCTCTCTCAACTTCCTTCTCACATCCTCGCACGATCCTTCTCTCCGGGTTCGCAAGGTTTCATCAATGCTGCAAGGTGAAGTACAATTGCAGCCAAGGGATTCGCAAAAGCGGAGTGATTTGGAGAGTGGCTCTCCTGCTTCATCTCATTGCTGTCGTATCTGTCTGGAGGAGAATAATAGCAGCGGCGATGAAGAATTGATATCACCGTGTATGTGCAAAGGCACACAGAAATTCGTGCATCGTTCGTGTCTCGATCGTTGGCGATCGGTTAAGGGAGGCTTTGCTTTCTCTAACTGCACTACATGCAACGCTCAGCTTCACTTCCCAGACGAGCAGCCCTTTGATGATATTAACAACTCTTGGCGGCAGAGATTAATTGACGCCTGGTGGGTGTTTTTGATGTTCTTGATTTTGCAGCCTGTGAGTCTCTCTCTCTCTTTCTTTTTTGTCTACATGCTTTCTTGTTGCTCTTGTTTGGAATCTTGACCTGGTCTCGGTGAATGTTTTTTTTTTAATTTGGTTGACTTGCCCTTGTCGAAACCTGTTCTTGATTGTTGACATTATAGCCTATTGCTGCGGGGGCCGGAGGTGCATACATGATGGATACAGACGGAGACTTTCGCAACTCTTTCAAAAATGAACTGGTTCGTATATTGGCAAAACATCCCATCCTGTTTTATTATTCTATTGGTGAGTCCTGAATCTTTTCATCTTTTTTTCAATAAATTGAATTCCTTCAGCGGATCTAGAAATCTAAAAAGCGCTTTAATAATACATTCTTAGGATTTGTAAGCTTCTTTGGGATGTTTGGATTTACGCTCCTCATTGCACAATTTATAGCTCGGGTGTATATGGCTTTGGTGTCATAACTGCTGTTACTGATCGATTTTGTTTATCGGATTGGTTCACTGCGTGATCAGTGGAGATTTTAAACTTGTGTGAATATTCTTTAACTGCAAGTGAAAAGGTTTTCTGGAGTTTCGCGCCCAAAAATAAAGAAGAAGAAAAGTTTATGCAGCCCTTTGTTCACTGTTGTTATTCTTTCATGAAATCTTTAGTTTTCATGTTTTTCTCTCTATCAAAAAAACATCGACAGTGAAGGGATTAGTGTTCCTTTGACATTTTCCAAAATACTATAAAAAAGATCGACCACAGTGGGAGTCGAACCCACGACCTTCTGATCCGAAGTCAGACGCGCTAATCCACTGCGCTATGCGGTCTACGGATATAAGGTGAATACTTCGATATATAGAGAACTTTGTTTTTGTAACCATTCAGGCAATACCTTATCCTTCATAAGAATGACAATAAACTAAAAGAAGACAATTGTATCATCCACATCAAGAATCATAAAACAGCTCACTCTAAGAAAAACATAATAAAGCCTCAAGCCCCTCAACTCGTGAATCTTATATACAAAGAAGAGCAAAGACAAAGACATGGAGTGAATGGCATAAAACCCGTATAAGATCAACCTTTTAAGCCCAAGAACAATCTTTCAAGACCTCATAGGCAATTGATCGTTGCTCTTCACTCAACGTCTTCGGGAAATTAACTAGAAACGTGATTCTCAAGTCACCTCGTTTACCTTCTTCTTTAGCATTAGGCAAACCTTGACCTTTAATAGCCTTCTCAAACCCATGAAAGATCACTTCTCCTACAGATACCGACATTGACTCACCACTCAGTAACGGCACCGAGAGTTTACATCCTGTTAAAGCCTTTACAAGTGGAATCTCCACCGCTATCTCTAAGTCATCTCCACGTCTTTTGAACAAAGGATGTCTCTTTTCTTCAACCACGAATGTGATGTCTTCGGGAAGGTAGCCTGGTTTCTCGTTCCCTACTCCTTCAAATGTGATCTTGGTACCTTTTTTCCATCCTGGTTTGATGTTCACTTTCAACGTCTCTTCTTGTTTCCTAATCAACCTGTTCATTACATAAAACATTAATGAATGGACCAAGGCGAGATAAACAAAACAGATCTAAGTTTTTGGAACTATAAACATTTTTAAAAACTGTAATAATTTTTTTTTTCTATAATTTAGGGGTCTATGTTTTATGTAAAGTTTTTTTTTTAAAAAAATTGAAAGCCAAAAACTAATGTTATTTTTTTTAATAATCCGATGTATTAATCAAAATGGATCCAAACTATCGGTGTTGTATGTATCAGCCCATATTATTATGGGCCGGTCACTGGACGTTGAGGGAGCCAAATTTTAAATTTTACCTCCAATGGCTAACAGGATTTGAACCCGAATCCTTATTAGGGTCGAAACAGACCACTAGGTCTTAGTTAAAAAAAAAAACTAATGTTTCAGTAGACTGCAAAAAACTAATTTCATTCTGCTGTGCCTAGAACCAGACCAAACTTAAAGAAAGTGAGTTCGAGACAAACCCTTCATCGGTGATAATGTCCCTGATGTTCTTAATGTTCTTGACTCCACCATGACAGAGCTCCTCCAACGTACACTCAAGCTTCTTCTCCACAGCCGGCGGCTTCTTCGGCTGTGTCGACTGCGAGAAAACTATCGGCGTCGTACTCCTCCTGCTCACGCTCTTCCCCATTGATCCACCCCTATCCCTCCTTGACTGTTGCCTCGTGCTCGTACTCTTCGAATACGCCGCTGACGTCGACGTCGCCGTCGCCGAGCCTCTACCGTCTTTATCTCTCTTGCTACGACTCTTCGAAATCGTCTTCGGAGAAGACGTTGTAGAGGTCGGAGAAGACGTTAGTCCCTGCGCCGAGCCAAACAAATCTCCCAACGTCTGATCTTTCCCTCTCGGGCTCGTGAAAGGTGACGTCATGGGGCTGGCGTTGTTGGATACGGGGCGAGATTTGAGACCGTGTGTTCTCCCGACCCCGCCGTGGCTGCTTCCGCCGCCGCCGCCGTCGTCTCTGCGGCTGGTGGTTCTTGAGAAAGTGGAGCGGCGGTTTGAAGAGGCGGAGGAGAGGTACGTGGGGCGAGCTTGCGGCGTGTGGCTGCGACGGCTGCTGGAGTTTGAGAGGAGAGAAGAACGGCGTTTGAAGACGGAGCTGTCGTCCATGCTCTGTAAACGGAGACCTCGACGAGCAGCGATGAGATCATCCTCCTCCGCGAATTTTTCCTCTAGATATTTCTGGTGGATCGCCTGAAAATATTAAATTAGTTACATTTTTTTCAAAGTTTCAATTTTTATCTGTAATGATTAATAAAAATCGGTTTTTTGAAAAGGTGTTTTGAAGAAAGAAAAAAGCGTACGGAATCGGCGTCGGAGTCGGTTTTGCGATGAGAAGAGAGAGGATGCAATTTGGTGACGATGGATTTGTATGCTTTGCAGGCTGTCTTTGATATTCCGAAGAAATCTGTCGCCGGCGATCGTGGTGTCGTCATTGCAACGACAAGAAGAAGAAGAAGAAGGAAGTTGATCGGGAAAATGGTGGAAAGAGAAAGACAGAAGAGAGAGAAGAGAGAGAGATTGAGAGAACTTGTCGTGCGTAGGAATTAGATTTTACCAGACAGACACGAAGAGCCGAGATGTTTGGGCTCCCGCTTTTATTAGGAATAGAAACTCTTTTTTTTTTTCATTATAAAAATGAAAACATTGCTAAAAATGCCATAACCATTTTAATTGAATTTTTAAATCTTCGGTTAACTAATAAATTTATATCTTTGGTTGACTTTTTTTTCATTTTTTATAAGACTTATCTCATTTTGTTTTATTAATCTTTTCAACGGTGTTAAATGCAAATATATTTATTAATCTTTTCGACGGTATTAGATGCGAATATTTTAATTAATCTGTTCAACGGAGTATTTATTAATTTGTTTTCTTCTATATCTTCAAAATTTTAGGTGATATTTTTTAAACGCTGAATATATTGATGCTGAAATGTTTCAAGTGAATGATCCAAAATAGAAAAGCAAAAATAGAAACATAACACCAATACGCAACAGGCATCAAAATTTTCAGGTGATCGGTAAGTATTCTTTGCCTGAAACTTGTAGTATGAGACAGAACAGAACCGTTAAAAATGGTTGATCAGCTCTCCATGCTGTTCATTTAGAGTTGAAACTTTTGCAAAAGAAAACAATGGCAAAACGACTACCTGGTGCGCTAGTCATTGGGCTTACTTTGCGTCTCTTTTCTGATTTTGGGTTTCTAAAGCCCAAAATAACAGTTTACAACCCATCAAATAAACCTAAACCCAACAATTCAACAAATTAAACATTAACCGAAGGGTAAAACCGAACCATATATTTACGAAATACTTGAGAATTTTGGGTCATATTTTCGGATGTTATTAGTAAAAAAATGAAAATATTGGTTAATTTTGTAAAAGTCGAATATCAACATTTAATCAGAATATTAAAACATTTTTTTAATTTAAAAGGTTCATAAAAAAACAGCCACTGCCATTTGTTGCTGGCTCTCTTCTTCAGCTAGAAAGAGATCTTACTATTACTCTTCTTTTATTCCCAAATTTACCCTTCTTTCGATTTCTCACCAAAAATTCCCCCAAATTCAACGAACTTCGGCGATGATGGAGCGAACGTACGGCCGCCGCAAGCCGAGCATCCCTCAAAGAACCCTCTCCGACTCCTTAAACGACACCGTCTCGCAAGCCGAATACCTCTCTTCCTCTTCCTCGCCGGACATCGAACCCCTCGATTTCTCCCTCCTCCCTTTCTCCAGCCAAGATTCGTGGCATTCTTACTCCATGTCAGATTCTCGGGAGGATTACCCACGGAGGGCCAAGAGATCGAGGAACGGAGAGGGCTTCACCTCCACTTTGCTCGAGGCGCAGGAGTTTGGGGAGCTGATGGAGCACGAGGACGAGGTTAACTTCGCGCTTGATGGGTTGAGGAATGGGCAGCAGGTTAGGATCAGGAGGGCTAGTTTGTCTTCTCTGCTGTCGATTTGTGCTTCTCAACACCAGCGCCGCTCGTTGAGGGCTCAAGGGTATGTACACGCTTGCCCCCTTCTAGGGTTTGCTTTTTGGTTCAATTTTTTTTCACAAATTTTGGGAATTTTCATGTGGGTTTTGTGAAATTGATCTTTTTGAGTTGTGGGTTTTCGTAAATTTTCGATCTTGTGGATTAGGGCACGGTTTTTATACAAATTTTGCGATGCCAAGACTGGGACTTTACTATTTGTTTTAATCAATTGAGTGGACGAGATTACCCTAATTTTTGTGGGAGTTTATTGTTTTCAGGATCTCCCAAACCATAATTGATGCGATTTTGAGTCTTAGCCTTGATGACACACCGAGCAATCTTGCCGCAGCCACTCTTTTCTTTCTGCTAACTGCTGACGTACGTGACTAGCTAATGCTGTTTGATGTTTGATACAGTTTAACCTCTCTTTTTTTTGTGTATAACACGACCAATTCATTTGCATGATTCCAGTGTCAAGACGAGCACTTTATGGAGTCACCCAAGTGCATCAAGTTTCTGATAAAGTTGTTGAAACCTGTGATTGTTACTAGCACCCAAGGGAAGCCACGGAATATAGGATTTAAGCTCTTGTCTTTACGTAAGGATGTTGGTCCAGCACATGATGCAGGGAAAACGAATGATCCTAGCTCTAGCGTTATACTTTCAAGTGTTCAGGAACTTCTTGTTAATTGCAAGGAGATGAGATCTACTGATAGCTATAAAGCTGAAACAACGAGACCTGAGCTCAGTACGAAATGGGTGGCTTTGTTGACTATGGAGAGGGCTTGCTTATCCAAAATTTCGTTTGATGGTATTTGATTTTTGGTTTGCCGCTTTTGTTGGTGCAATGACTAGCTAACTATTTCCAAGATCATCTTAGAATTGATAGTAGATAATGTGATAGTAATTTATTTTGCTTCCTTAGATTCAATATACCATAGATTCTAATGTGATAATATTGTGATTCTTTGTGTATGTTTAATTGTTTTTCATTTCTCCCACCCAGATACCTCTGGTTCTGTGAAAAAGACCGGAGGGAATTTCAAGGAGAAACTGCGTGAGTTAGGAGGACTTGATGCAGTCCTTGAGGTTGTTATGGACTGTCACACTGTTATGGAGGTATGGTCATACTTTTTTCCTCTACACCAATAATAGGATGAAAACGGTGGTCTCCAACTGCCTAGGATGTTGATAACTTGTATAAAGCATCTTAGATTACTACCTTTGTAACCTGCACTAGTTGTCTTTGATTGCGGTAAGTATGCAATTGCATAATGGTATATTCAGCGAGAGAAGCTAATACAGATTCTATATGCAGCGCTGGGTGGAATGCGACACACTGTCCTATCAGGATAAGAAAGATAGCCTGCATAAGCAGACTTTAATGTTGCTTTTGAAATGTCTGAAAATCATGGAGAATGCTACGTTCCTCAGCCCAGACAACCAGGTATTTTACTATATTGGTTGCTAGATTCTCGACAATATTCTGGAAATTGTGACGCTAATCACCTGTTATCAAGTTTCAATATATACAACTCAGTGCCTGAGACAATATTAACAATAACGCTAATTTTGTTTGTCAGAATCATTTGCTCGGGTTTAAGAAATGTTTGGGTTCTCATGAATCCCGGATTTCTTTCACAGAGCTCACAATAAGTGTCATTAAGATGCTTTCAGGTTCGCAATTGATACCATTTCTGGTTTTGAATTGTTACACATTACGACTTCTTCCCGTTCTATGATCTCTTATCCTGATATCTGACGAACTGATGCTAGGTCTTCACCTACGTGGAGAAGTTTCAAGTCCTATCAAGAACAATGTAAATCCCCACTGTTCAATTGCTGGTATCTTGGTAGCAGATGGTAGAGGTATTTTATTATTCTTTATTAATCACAAATGAGTCTCTATCTCCTCTAACTATGTCTCTCTAACTCCCTTGCCACCTCTATCTTTTGCAGTTAACAATGAGGTCGTGACAATAAGTTCAGATACATGCTCAACCGTTGGCTCTATCTCAACCAGGAATGGGAGTGCATCGCAGAGATATCAATCGATAATCGATTTAGACTCGCCACCTACATCGATGTCGGGTTATCAATCAAGTGTGTCTGGAAATGAGCCCACCACTAAGTCAACGACCAGAGTCGGTTCATCCGTAGCTGGTTCATTTGCAGGCAGATTGGCGTCACTGGGTAGTGACATTGCCAGAACTACTTCAAGGACTAGTCAAGTTGAAGAACCAAGTGGTAAAAGAAATGGAAAATTTTCATTCCTAGATGAAAACCAAGATCCTTTTGCGTTTGATTTGGAAGATTCGAAACCTTCCAAGTGGGCGTTAGTATCTGTAAAGCAAAAGAAACCTAGAGCTCAAAAGAAGAAAGGGTGCTACAAGAAAAGTAAAGATGAATGTTTGCTTCAACGGTTCCCAAGCCAAGAGGAATCATCAAACCATAGGTTGAATTCCCAGGAAGAATCAAGTGGCAGAGACTGCAGTACATCGCTTCAAGTATCTCCGTCTACAACAAATGACATTGATGAAGAATGTCTATGTCTTTTATCTGATTGCCTTCTAACAGCCGTTAAGGTAATGTTCGCACAGTCTTTTTTCTGGTATATAGCCCGAATAGCATCAATTTAGTTGATGTTTTTTTTTTTTGTTTGCAGGTTTTGATGAACTTAACAAATGATAACGCTGTCGGTTGTCGGCAAGTTGGTGGTTGCAGAGGGCTGGAAAGCATGGCTGAATTAATTGCTAAACACTTTCCGTCTTTCACCAGATCTCCTCTTTTCAGTGAGATGTCATCCCATCAGAAGAAAGACAAACATCTCACAGATCAGGAGTTAGATTTTCTTGTGGCCATCTTGGGTTTGCTGGTAAATTTGGTTGAGAAAGACGGAGTGAACAGGTACACAAAAAATATTCTCAATCAGAATTTAATATCATCCTGTGGTTGAGTCAATACAATTTCAACTAGTCATATTCTTGGTCGTTTTTAACCGATAGGCAACACTGGGCGTAGGCTCTTTTCTCTAATCAGGTAACATTTTTTATTTCAGATCACGGCTTGCTTCAGCGAGTGTTCCTATTACAAAACCAGAAGGGTTGCAAGAGAGTGAACAAGAGATGATTCCTTTATTATGTTCAATATTTCTCACCAATCAAGGATCAGAAGACACCAAAGAAGAAACAACTACTTTCACCTTAGTGAGTAGCAGCACCTATGAGATCCCCAGAAAAGGTTTATATTTTACTAAACCTGCGTTTCTTTTATTTTTGGTACTCAGGATGACGAAGAAGCTGTTTTAGAAGGTGAAAAGGAAGCGGAAAAGATGATAGTGGAGGCGTACTCTGCTCTACTACTAGCTTTTCTTTCAACTGAAAGGTATTTTTTCGTTTTCAATCTCATTATATATCATAATGTATATGAACTTTCTCAAGGAACGTAACATGTTGTTGGATCCACTAGCAGTAGAAGTATACGCAACTCAATCAAAGACTATCTCCCAAAACGGAATCTCGCAATTCTTGTACCGGTCTTGGAGAGATTTGTGGTATGTGCCTCTTTAAACCCCCTTATGGCTGCTCGGTTCCAGGCTATAGAAATCTCAAAGATCATTTAATATAACTATGTTCTATCTTCTGTTCAGGCATTTCACACGACTCTAAACATGATCCCTCCGGAGACACATAAAGCAGTGATGGAAGTAATTGAATCCTGCAAATTACCATAAAACGGATCAAAAAGGGCAAATCAATTCTCTCATTTTTCTCTGTACAGCTTATGGAAGAAAAAAAAAACTTGGGAATGCTTTAGGGGTGATCACTACTCTGGTGATCAGACTATATAAATCATAGTGATCATGTTCATGTAATGATATAAGGCTATACAAGTAGTATGTTCAAATCTTTGTTTTAGAGTTTGTTTTTACTTGTCTGTCACGGCTTAGGGTTGTTCTAGCTGTCTTTTACTTGTAAACTACAATTCTTTTGTAGCTTTTCTTGATACCCCTGATCATATATACAAGTTTGCTTTACGACTTACTTTTTTTTAATTTGTAATATTACGCCCTTATGTGATTATATGAACATCTACTTTTGTGTCTGTATAAACGATGATTAGAGTTTTGTATTGAATCTACAACTTTTGAAGCTCTGAAAAAAAAGTGAGGTAAAAACAACTGATCCTGACATCCCGGAAATGAGCCTTGTCATCGTCGCTTGTGTGAATGGATCATCTAATTCTGGATTCTTCTAATTATCTGTTTCTTTTAACTGAAGATTGATGTTGTAATGACCTTAGCCTAAACATATCAGATTACAACAGCTTCTTGTTGATTATATTACAACATTTTGTTAGATATATTATTACAACATCACTTGTTCTCTTTAAGTGTCTTCTAAAAGAGACTGAAATATTAGTCTGACATTTTCAGATGAAACATACTTAAGAGGCAAGGAGGGTGAGGTCATGATGAATCATTGGTGGTTGAGGATGAGTTCGAGCTCATTACCCAACTCTCTGGTAATCTTATCAGCTCGGTCGTCTTGTCCACCAGCAAATGTGTAAACTCCGAACGAAAACTGAAATGCCCTCCACAACGTTTTTGCCCATCCTACAGTCTTGTTCTTGATTCTGCACTGCTTTCCCCCGCGTGATTCTGTTGCATTCTTTGCTTCCCTCTTCTCCTGTGAGTTTTCAAAACCAAGACATCCCAATTCAACAGTGTTTGGTTTTTTCAAAAGTATGTTGTGAATTATATAAAAGGTTTTGATCTTACAGTTAGTACTACCTTTAATGCAAGTTCCATGCAGCCTGAGGAGATGTCAACCATTAATTCCTTTATCTGAATAAGTAAACCGAAGTCGAAATGGATGTTATGCTTTTTGAACATCTTTTCATCTTCTGCTCTGGTCTGTTCTAGAGTGTCAATCTCTTTTCTGATCTGTTTTCACCATTACTCTTCAGATCAATTCAAGCGAAGAAACTATATATAGTAAAATCAGTGTTCCTAATGGCTTACCTTTGCAAAGTAACGTTCAGTTTTATCGAAAAGTTGTTCAGCAGGAGACTCAATCTTCCAGTTCTTGAGCTCTTTGATCATACCCTGAAGCTTGGAGTACAATGCAGCAGCCATTCTTATCGCTTCGAGTTTAGAATCCGGGAAACCTTCACATCTCGCTAGAACCTAATCAAAAGTTCAAACATTTGATAAAAGAGAGTTTGTTATATTTGATGTTATCACATTTGTTGTTGTTGGAACTGACCTTTGTTTCATCTGTTAGTTTCTCAAGCACTGATTCTATATACAGGTGGAACTTCTGAAGCTCTGCCATGTCCTTGCTCTTGAAGTTGGTAATCTCTGTTTTGAGATCATTGATAGCTTTCATATACATTTCCACATCAGCTTCTATTTGTTGAAAATAAGCTGACCTGTGTTATAGTAATCAAAACATAAAAACCATGTTATCAGTTTTTGTTGTGTGATAATGATATTCATAAAACTGTGTCAATGTGAATTTTTTTACTTCTTTGTTATCTCAGCAAGAGCTTCAGCCATTCCTTGCTTTCCACCTGATGGAGCGTTTCCAATCCCAACTTTTCTTCCTCCAGATCTTGTTTTTGGATCCTTACCTTCGATTTTCCCCCTTAGGAATCTGAAGAGTTCCCCTACATGTGTTGATCTCTTCAGTTTGCTCGTTGCTTTCTTGGCTCCCAAGCGAAATGGTGGTGGTGGTGCTCCACCTGCTCCCTTTCCAGGAGGCAGTGGAAGTGGTGATGCACCTGGTGCCTTTCCTGGAGCCATTGGAAACGGAGGTGGAAGCAGCGATGCTGCAGCCCCCGGTGGTGGAGGCAATAGTGCTGCAGCTCCTGGTGGTGGAGGCAATAGTGCTGCATCCCCTGGTGGTGGTGGCAATAGTGCTGCAGCCCCTGGTGGTGGTGGCAATAGTGCTGCAGCCCCTGGTGGTGGAGGCAGGGGTGCTGCACACCCTGGTGGTGGAGGCAGGGGTGCTGCACACCCTGGTGGTGGAGGCAGGGGTGCTGCATAACCTGGTGGTGGAGGCAGGGGTGTTGCAGACCCTGGGGGTGGAGGCAGTGGTGCAGCTGGTCCTTTTGTAGCAGACACTGGAAATGGCCGTGGGGGAGGTAGTGCAGCATTTACTGAATGAGGAGTAGTCAGAGCCAAAGATTCAGTCACAGATTCAGACTTCTCTGAACCCTCTGGGCAAATTTTAACACTATCTTGTTCCTCAAGGATTGCTTGTTTTGCTTTCTCAATCCTCTCTGTTACACTCTTCTGCTTCTCCTCAACACTCTCAGTGTCATTATCACCATTATTGCCATGAGCTGCATACCCTGGTGGTGGAGGCAGTGGCGCTGCTGCCCCTGGTGGTGGAGGCAGTGGATGTTTCTGTGGGGGTGGTAGTGCAGCATTTACTGAATGAGGAGTAGTCAGAGCCAAAGATTCAGTCACAGATTCAGACTTCTTTAAACCCTTTGAGCAGATTTTAACACTATCTTGTTCCTCAAGGATTGTTTCTTTTGCTTTCTCCATCTTCACAATCCTCTCTGTTACACTCTTCTGCTTCTCCTTAACACTCACACTCTCATTATCACCACCATTTCTCTGAGCTTCATCCTGGCATACACTCTTTTGGATACTGAGTCGCTTCACATCAATAGAACTCAGTTTTACAAGCCCTTGCATTCTCACGTTTCTTGGAAAACTTGAAACAGATATTGCAAAGTCTCCAACCTTACTTGGCGTGACCGGTTGCTTCCTGACTGGTTTTGATGGCAGAGTAGTAGTAACGTTTTTCTTCTCTTCATCACTGTTTATCTCTGTCATATTAAGCCTCTCGTTCATACTCTTTATCAGCACATCTAATGCACCTATCACCTTTTCAACTGCGTCAATAAACCAAATACACAGTTTTGTGTTACAAAACTATTCAAATACTGCAAAGTTTGTATGACAAAGAGTCACAAGACTTTTGTAACGCTTACCAAGTCGATCAGATAGATTCTTCTTAAGGCTGTTACTGTTCCTATACTTTGATTTGATGATCCATTCATGATCATCAATCCATGAATCTCCAATTGATTTCAAAGCGTTATAAAATTGGTCAAGCAACTGTTGCAAGAGCCAATTTGATAAGATAAGAAAAAAAAAAACAAAATAACCACAGTTTGGTTAGAGCATAACTTGATTTAGTTATGAGATGAGAACCTTATCCGTATCTGCAGCATGTTTTATGTCCAAGAGACGCGAGCTATCGACGATATCAGGACATAGCTCATGAAGATCTTCCATCGTACGAGTCACCAGCTTAGCAATAGCCCCAACATAAACACACACACAAAAGATCAATTAATATAAAAGGGAGTGAAACGATTCAAGTGGCGGGTGACAAACTTCATCGCATTCTTTTACGTTAGTATCATCCTTTTTTTTTTGTTAATAAAAAATCATATATATGGAGTCTATGTAAAAATAAATTATTAGTGTTAGGGAGTAATATGTAAATATCTAGATATGTTATATATTCTCTTACCATTCTATTAGATATTTCCTATTTCAAAGCTAACAATATATGTATATCAAGGGTAACTTTATAGTTGTGTGACTATGGTAGGGTGGTCAATTCAGATTTTGATTTGGTTTGTTTTTTTTTCCGGTTTATTGGTATTTCGATTTATAAAATTAGCTATCATATTTATTTTGGTTTAATTCAGTTTATATACTATTGATTATCAGTTTATTTAGTTTTATGCTGAAAACTATAATTATATTTCTTTTATAATATTTTGTGAATTTTCGTTTATATATCAGAAATCAGATTTATTTGAACATACTGTACATATATTTTCAGTACTCTAAATTTTATGTTTTAATTAACTAATAAAAATAATTAGTAAAACTAAAAAGTTAATAGTGATAAATAATTTTCATAAAATGAAAAAAAAATAGAAATATCATAATATTATTAAAATTCAATGTGATGAAAATGAGAAAACAAAATAACTGTAACTGATAACAAAATAAAATAAATTATGTATATATTATTAATTATATATAGTTCACGTATAATTATTGTAACATTATCGATTTACTTTATGATCGGTTTATATACCAAACCATATCTATATATTACGGATTTTTTAAAAAAAAAAATATTAATTCAGTTTATTAGTTATTACTATTTTGGTTTGTTTTAGTTTTAATAAGTTTTGGTTTTACCGGATTAAACTTCATTATACATTAGAGCAAAAGAAGATAGCACATACGTATCAGTCTCTTGTATATTATTATCCCCAATAATCATAAACTTACATTGGTTATGGAAAGATGATCGGTGAGAAGAGGAAGGTCGATGATACCCCTAAATGTGATAATCTTCTTTCGAAGTTGGACCCTAAGAATGAAATTTCCTGGCCCTTTACCCCTCTCACTGCTGAAACTAGAGATCTTTGTTATTTCTTTGTGAGCATTTTTTATATCTTTAGCCGATGAAGCAACACGTCTTGAAGTTGTTTGGCTCACGGATGTAGATCTAGAGGCCTTGATGGATGATGATGGAGAAACCAAAGAAGGTTGAACATCTTGTTTGGTCTTGTTACTTGTAAGTGATGTCTTCCCTTTGACAGGCTGTAAGGGAGTCTTTTGGGTCATTAATGGAGATCTAGACGCGTTACTGGATGATGATGGAGAAACCAAAGAGGGTTTAACATCTTGTTTGGTCTTACTACTTGTAAGTGATGTTTGCTCTTTTAAAGACTGTAACGAAGATTTTTGGCTCACTAGTGAAGATTTAGACGACTTGATCGATGATGATGGAGAAACCGTAGAACGTTTTACATCTTGTTTGGTCATACTACTCCTAAGTGATGCTTGCCAGTTTACAGGCTGTAACAAAGGTTACAAGAAAAAGAGGTAATAGAGATCAAATCAAATTTCAATTCGAAAGATGGAAACAATTAGTGAAATAAATAAAATATTCTTACCTCAGCCTTAAAGGTTCTCATACTCATGATTCATCAACGGAGAAAAGAGCTACTGAAGTGTTGTTAACCTTGTAATAATTACCAAGGGAAACAGACTTGGGGAGATAGAACATGTGAAGCTAAGAGTATTTACTGTTTATTAACTTTGACGCTCTACCTCTATCGAATATATAAGCTATCCAATTATGACACGTGGCGTCTCGAAAATAAGAAGTTACAATATAAATTGTAAAATAAATTTTTTTTTTTTGGTCAAAAAAATAAAATTATTTCTAAAATACCCTAAAAGTATAGGAACTGAGTTTAGTATAATAGGTAAAAAAGAGGAGATCTACTTCCTTTTTAAAAAAGAGGAGATCTACTTCCTTTTTCTTCTGGTCAACAAAGAAATCTACTATAACAAAAAAAATTCAGAACCCAATATATTCACTATTTTTTTTTTCTTCTTGTCTGAAATGGAAATGAATTTTTAACTTTCAAATACTTCAGCAAGAATTGATAAAAACAAATTTATAGCAGCAAGAGCCAACAATATACCGAGTAACAGTTATTAACAAAGAACACAAAGGAATTGATATTACGGAGTATGCGACACAAAATGGATAACCATGTGGCCTAAATAAGCTGGAACTCTTCATTCCGTTTGAATCACATTTGCACATTATATATCGAGTTTTTCTATGCTTAATATGAAATTAATTATTATTTTTACTTGAAATTAAAGTATTATACATGGGGAATGGAAATGTAACGCTTTCTTTCTTTCAAAATGTATAGACTAGAATTTAAGGCAATATGCTTAATTATATTTAGATTTTTTTCTATGCCGCATATGACAATAATATTTTCTAATCTACTTGAAATCAAAGTTTTATTAGAAAGGAACTTTTTCGAAAAGAAAGGAATCAAAGTGCAACGATTTCTTTCTTTCACAATGTAAAAGGCTCAAGAATGTAAATATTAATCAATCATGGTGGTCAAATGGTTAAAATAAATACAATGTGTTTTTTTTCCCCAGCTAACTAGGAATATCATTTCAAAGCTCGTTTTTTTATCATAGTCTTTGAACAGTCGGTAGTATTTTCTATTTCATATTTACCGCCATAATCATAATCGCAGTCAAACGAATCGAGTGAATGATTGGTATCTGCAGAATCTAGGCGTTCCTGGCCCTGCTAATTTTCTTCAAGAATATTAAGAAAAACGTAATTAGAACTTAGGAAAATTCTTTGAAAATACACAGAATAAATTTTATTTACTAATAAAATACATAAATTATTTTTGATTCTCATTTAATATATGCATTAATTTGCGTTGCTTATTAAATACACAAACTTTTGAAATTTGCAGTTTTTAACGATTTTAACTATATTTTACGGAAGAGGCGGAAACGTTAGAGTCTAATTAAACACGTGTTTAAATTGTGAAAAGAAAATTCTTTAAAGATACACGAACTAATTTTTATTTCCTAATAAAATACATGAACTATTTTAGATTCTCGTTTAATACACGAACCAATTTTTGTTTTTCATTAAATACACAAATTTTTAAGATTTGTAGATTTTATACAGCGATTTAGACAATGTCGACTATGTTTAATACAAAATGACATTAATTTTAATTAAACATGTAGTTAAATTGTGAAAAGAACGATCACCATCAACCATAACCTCTCAAATCGATTGAGTCCTAATTCAAGTTAGTTTCAATTCGTACTTGGCATCTTAATATGTTTCAACCTCTTATATTCTCCAAACTCTACTTTTTCGCTTTGATTTTCCTTATATCGCATCGAAGTGGAGTTAATTTATATGTCGTGGAAATTTCTGATTTTGGAATTAGTTTAATGTTATGTATTTCTTACATGAAGTGAAGACGTTGTTAGTGTTTAATTAAACATGTGGCTAAACAGTGAAGAAAAATTACTTAAAAATCTTCTCAATTGATTATATTGTTAGCTTTCTTCTCAATGATGTTTCCATAGTGTAATTTTTTCTGGATGACATTTCAAATTTATCGGTCATATTAAAAAAAAATATGTACAGTCTAATTCATAACACTAAACTTATTGATCATAGTATAAATTAATTTTGATTGAATCATTATCACTACACTCAAAGTGAAGAATAAGTGTAAGAAATACATAACATTAAACTAATTCTAAAATCAGAATTTTCCACGACATAGAAATTAACTCCACTTCGAAGTGATATAAAGAGAAATCAAAGGAAAAAAAAGAGAGCAAAGTTTGGAGAATATAAGAGGTTGGAACTGATTAAGGTGCCAACCACGAATTGAAACTAACTTGAATTAGGACTCAATCGATTTGAGAGGTTCTGGCTGATGGTAAGCGTTCTTTTCACAGTTTAACCACATGTTTAATTAAAACTAATGACATCTTCGATTAAACATAGTCGACGTTGTCAAATAGATGTGGAAAATCTGCAAATTTCTAAAATTTGTGTATTTAGTAGAAAACAAAAATTAGTTCGTGTATTAAACGAGAATCCAAAATAGTTCGTGTATTTTATTAGCAAATTAAAATTAGTTCGTGTATTTTTAAGGAATTTTCTTTTCACAATTTAAACACGTGTTTGATAAGACTCTAACGTCGTTGTCGTCTATAATGATGTGTAAAAACTGCGAATTTCAAAATTTTGTGAATTTAATAGGTAACGTAAATTAGTTTATGTATTAAACATGGATCCAAAATAGTTCGTGTATTTCATTAGAAAATGAAATTTGGTCGGTGTACTTTCAAGGAATTTTCCTTTCGAACTATGTTAAAGTTATGGAAATTTCCACACCGCTGGAAAAATTGAATTTTACATTTCTATTTAGTATTCTAGCTATTGGTATTTTATTCCTATCTTATATATTAAAACAAAAGTCATGACTTAATTCATGTGTGATATATCATTTTAGATCATCTCTTAAAAATTTTATTAAATTTTACATAATTATTAAACATATATTTTCATATCTTTAATTTTTATTGGAAATATAAATAAGTATTCGAAAAAAATTCTAACAAAATCTTTTTAAAATCTTTTAGGATCTTTTCAAAGTATAATTTGGAAAATTGTTTAATTAAAATTTAACTATCATCAAAGCTAATTAAAATTAAAATTTAATTTAGTTTTGATTTCTAAACAAAAATTAAAAGTTATGTAAAAACTTTTAGCAATATCCCAAAAAAATTCTTCTCTATTGTGTAGGTCTATATTAATTAAATGTCTACATATATTTCTAAATCAGAAATAAATAAAATTATGTAAATTAATATTGTTGCATAATAATTTTTTAAAAATAAATTTTTTAAAAATACAAAATATTTTTTTTGTAATAATAATATTAGTTTTGATTTCTAAACAAAAATTAAAAGTTATGTAAAAACTTTTAGCAATATCCCAAAAAAATTCTTCTCTATTGTGTAGGTCTAAATAAATTAAATGTCTACATATATTTCTAAATCAGAAATAAAATAAAATTATGTAAATTAATATTGTTGCATAATAATTTTTTAAAAATAAATTTTTTAAAAATACAAAATAATTTTTTTGTAATAATAATATTATAAGTCACACAAAATTATTATAAAGTTAGATAATATATAAACAAATTATATTAATAAATTTATTGTATAATATTTTAGTATTTAAAAAATTCACACGGTAGTGCGGATCAAGATCAAGTTCCTATTATGTTGGATGAAAGAAAATAAGTCGGACAAAGAGATGTTAGAAGGTGCAAAATCAATAGGTGCCGGAGCTGCTACAATATCTTCAGCGGGAGATGCTATTGGTATTGGAAACGTCTTCTATTCTTTATTCCATTCTGTGGCGCGAAATCCATCATTGGCTAAACAATGATTTGGTTATGCCATTTTGGACTTTGCTCTAACCAAATATATTGCATTGTTTGCTCCAATGATAGCTTTTTTAATCTTATTCATATATTGATCGAAGAAAGAAGGTTTCATTCAGTTTCATAAAGCAAACACCTCTTTCACATAAGAAAGCGGAGGCAAGCTTGGGTACGATCAAAAATGATTCCACATGAGAGAGGACTGGGCAATCGCCCTCTTGAATAACGAAGAAATGAGCTAATCCCCGAAAATTCCCGTTAATTAAAAAGCTGGGGACAAAATTTGCCTTATAATCAAATAAGGCTTCAGCGTTGATGAGCCAGGATCAAACTCCTTCTTTTGAAAGTGTTACACCGCCGCCTACTCCCCCCCCCCCTCTCCCTTAGGAGGACAACTATTATATGTTTTAAACTGAGTTCTAGTGTTCACCTACAACCCAACCTAATCTTACTGAAACTCTTGTTATTTTTCTTTTGCCTATCAAAGTTTTTGTTGTAGCTCTTCTAACTGCAGTTGTGCAGCAACTATCCATGGAATCGTGCGTCCAATAACCCAACCTATAAAAAAGACATAAAAACCTGAATCACTGTTTTAAAATTTTCTAGTCAAATTGCTCTTATATCTAAGCCTCTAAGGTACGTAAGAAGTGGAACAACAATTTGTAAATCATAATAACAAAAATATTGTTAATGTTGACCAAAAGTAAATGAAATATGGAGGCTAGGGTCGAAACATTAATAAAAATGTCCGGAACCTTGTGATTTAGTGATAAGGAAAGGAATTTGGACGCGACTGTTTCACCTACTATTGGAAATAAATCATATTGTTTCACGTACTATTTGGAAATAAATCATATTGTTCTGGACATCTACATAAATATATAGATCTATGGCCATTTGCATATCCGGAGAAATGATTTATCTGTAGGTTGCATTTGACACTTCCATAAGTGATGGATATCTCCACCCCATATTAATCTAACTAAAAACATTAATAAGAAATGGAATAGATTTAGATGCATGCATGTTCTATATTCTTATCCGAAAAAGGAGAGATGCGTCTTGCATCATATACATGTAGTTGTACACCTGTGTATATGTTGTATGCATTGGATTTTGACCAATGGTGCAACGATTGTTTGATTAACAAAAATCTACGGTTATGAGTTATTATAAAAAGTTGGTGTTCCACAAGATAGTTGATAATGTTTTCAGATTAATTACATTTAGCAGTTCAGTTTTTGTTTAAAATTTGAAAATTATTCAAGAAGTTCAAAGTTGCTAGTGTATTTTCCTTTATCATTATAATCTTAAGAGCTTGTATCCGAAACAATCATTTTAGTGATTATTATTACACAATCTTTAGGTATTAAAATTGTTCCTTGATCATTATATGATCATCCCATAGAAAGTAACATAGTCACATACAATTTATCTCTACATGTTACAATCCTTTTCCCACCCTTTACCTTGTCCGACAAGTTAACTTAACAAAACCCAAAATCTTTCAAACTTTCTGAAGACTTAAAGAGGACATTAGGTTTAAGCAAACCATCCTCTGAATAGTTAACTTGCTTCTCTACCGTGATGGCGGAGGAGGAATTCCGGTGAGAAAGGCCGAGAAAAATGCAAGAGAGCTGCTTGGTTTGAAGGAAGGCACCGCATGTCCAGCTCCTCTGAACGTAGCAAACGTTAGACCTTCGTATTCTTGGAGCCATCCGCTTACCTGTTTCTCATGGTACCAAGGCCTCCAAGCTGTCTTGATGGGTAATTCGAGTGCGCTTAAGCTATACCTAGTCGCGAGTACTGGAACTCTTCCGTCTGTGTCACCACTGAGCCATCACAGAACCAAAACCACGGTTAAGTGGAATATTTATCATGCATCGGAAACTTGTTGAAGTTAATTATAATTTGTTATATTTTTTAATTTGCAAGGTGAAACAAATCAGGAATTTAACTGGTAACTCAAACTACTGATGTGACGTAAATCGATCATGAAGTGATGTTTCAATTAAAAAAAAAAATTAAAAATCATGATGAATGAGACAACCATTGAATCAAAGTTATTGGTCATGAACTCATTTTTACCTGTAAACCCATATTCTTAATCCCCCGGCGATCAATTTCTCGTATATAGGCAAAACAGAGGGCTTTGTATAAGTCCAGTTATGAAAGATCTCCATGCTGAAATATTGTCACAATACCTAAATTTAGACAACTTCCATCACATATGTTATACAAAATAATAAGAAGAATGGGAAGAGTACTTGCAAATCCTCCAGTCTTTGAGATTAACTCCATCACTCGCATGAAGAGACTTCTGAACATCTGCTCTGTTGTAGAATATTCTCGCGTAATCGTCTAAGCATGGGTCATATCCACCCAAGCGCCTTGGTGGCACCTTTAGGCATGCAAACAAAGTTTTGTTAAACGAAAAAAACTTTGGTAGACGCAGTAGCGGCCCTGGGTAGAATCATTAAAAGCATCTGTTTCCGGCCCTTAAAATAAAATAAAGTTTTCAGCCTTTTTTCACAAAAATTATTATAGCTCGAATGGTTAAATAGCATGTGTTTCTTCTATAGGTAGCAAATTCAAATCCCAAATGGTGGCCTTTTTTTGTGCGAAACTTCCGGCCTTTATTTTTTTTTAGTTTTTCAGGACCGGACCTAGACGCTAATCTATTCATAAATTTCAACCATCAGAATATTATAGTATGTATTATGTTATATAATTATGTCGTACCCTCTTGGAGCTGGTGTGAGAATTTGTCTTGAATTGTGAAGAATCCAAGTAAGAGGATCGTGCAGAATCTCCTATACAAACAGATGTATAGAGGCTATAGATATCGATCTCGTCGTACTGCTTTTGAACTTCTGCGACGGCTTCGGAGCACTCGTCGTCGCTCCATGTATTGTCACTGCTGAAATTGCAAGTCCTGGTTATGATTCTATGCGTCTCATCAGATATAACCGCGTGGCTCCATGCGTAATCCACCCAACCTCTCCAATCTTCTGCATCTGATGTCTCAGGATTCCCAAGCTACACACCAAATTAACCCAATTAATAAAAGTTTCTATCTATATTAAATGCAACATAACTCTATTATTTTTTTCACTGGAAGATTTTAAAATCTCATATTTTATAGTACTCCTATTATTATTATTAACTTTTTTTGGGGTAAAGAAACATATCATTAAGAAATTCAAACGTACCAAAATACCCTTAAGATTGATGTGAAGCGAGGAACCATTGTTCTTGTTATTGTTATCGTACACGACCTCTGCTAGCTCCGGTACGTATTTTCCTGTAAGTATATAAATACGTAACAGAAAACGAATTAGACTAAAGATATATTAACACTAGAATTAAGATGGTTCGTTAGTTAACCTGCGTAGCTTTCGCCTGCGATGTAGAACGTATTTCCTTTGTGTTCAGGAAATTTCTCGAACCAGTTGCAAAGAAAAGTGAATGCGTCTCTTGCTGATCGTTGAAAAAAGAAGAAGAGAGAATGAAGCATAAGTTTTATCAAGCATATAGTTATGTTTAAGGAGACTGGAGTACGTACGTACTATATATTATATTATTCGTCTGAGGACAGAGACTATAGCTTAAAATAATAATGGACCTGCCTGTAAAGTCATCGTCAAGTTTTTGATAATCGCTCGTTGTGTTTGAATACGAAAAGCCAACACCGACGGGAGATTCTAAAAACAGCATGTTGGCCTCTGCATCAGCAAATCAACCTTTTTCATTATTTTATTCATTTTCATTTACATATATATATATATATGAAAACTATACAGAAAGATAACCTTTATTCCATGCGTATGGATTAAATTTAAGTCCGTTTTCGTTGGCATCCACGAGAAAGGGACCAATTTCTTGTGTTGCTCCATATCCCACAGAGGAACAACCTGGACCTATATACACAATATACAAATGATTAAAATCTAAGTGTGTTCTCCCGTTAGACGACATCAAAAAATGGTTTAATAACAGGATAAAAATATATTTTATGTTGACGTTGGACGGCCAAATGTAAATCATGATACTGTAAATTATGTAATTACTAAATATTGCGGAATTAATCATGTTATCAGTGTACTATTTCACATGATATCAATCAAGAGTGATCTAAAAACATGACAACATAAAATAGTTCGGATAAACGCATGAATATTTTAAAATATAGGATTTACCTCCATTAAGCCAGAGAACTAGAGGTTTCTCCTTGGGAAGATCCACGGCCTCAAAGAACCAATAAAACATAGCTCTTCCGTTGGATGCGTCCACAGGGACATAACCGGCGTAATGTCTGAAACTCACATCAGGCTGTCCAGGCAAATCTGTCACCAGATCTTGCTCGTTAGCCAACAAGCTTTTTTGTTTCGGGCTATCAAACCGGTGTTGTCTAGTACATGTAACCACCGGGAGTAATATTAAGAGAGTGGTAAAACACAAAGAGATTAACCAAGTAGATATGTTCTTGGCAGCCTGGTTCTTGGTTTGATAATCCATTTTAGGTTTAAGTTGTGAAGAAGATCAAGGAAACGTAATAAGATGATAAGAAAGTTCCAAGACTTAGATGTCTATTTATAAGCTAAGATGAAAAGATTTTCTTTAATTTCTTTGATATATTATTATTTTTTAATTAAGTGGATATGGAAGAATAGTCCTATGCGGCAATTGGTGGCTTTAATTTGTTCATTTGGTCGAATAATTCCATCTTAAAAAAGGATTTATAGGGACAAATTCGAGAGAATTCGTATACTTGACTTATATAGAGTGGATGAAGCACTTTCTCTTTGATGGGTTTTAACCACGTCATGACCAAAAGTAATATAAATTCAATCTATAACCTAAGAAAATAGAGGATTAATCGACCCCACAAAAGCATAATAACTAGTGATGAATATATAAACTGAGGAAACTGGGATATATGCTACCCTAAGCAAGACGAAAATTACTAGCTTAAAACTAGCATTAACGTATGGTTCATAACTCACAAGTCAAATATAAGATATAGATTTTCCAATTCCAACCCGGCTTAGGAGCGCTATGCCTACTGGCGGATTGTTTTTCCTCTATTTTATAAGCCATGTACTTCGAGTTGAGAGCTTCAATCCAGATTTTAGAGTTATATAATGTATACTGTATACATAAGGATTTTGCATGATAAATTCGAAATTTATCAGAAAAGACTGTTCCATTACTTTTTTCTAATAGTTTCTGATCAAATCTTTTATTCGAAACTCAATCATACTAGATCAAAAATATTGTTAATTCAGTCGGTTAAAAGTACCTTATGTATATTCTCTCCTTTTTGTACCATAACCGGCGTTAGTATAGCATAAATTAGAATTTCATTGATCCACAATAAATATATATCAACTGCAAACCTTGAGTTAGTGAAATCTCAGTCGTACTCGTACTACTTGTCATGCACATGGTGTCTTTAAGAATGTATCGCCCACTACAACCCAAGTCAAATAAGTATTGCTGGCTGTGCAGCTTCGTAGCTGTGTAATAAGTCCTATTTTTTTCTTACAAAATCTAACGAATAACTAAACAACATCTTAGATTAATCTTGTATGTTTATAATGTTAGTAAACCAGTATTTAATATAACCAGCGGTTTTTTCTTATAGTGTTATATTACATATGATTTTTTGTTGGGTAAGATCACAATATTTGATTCTTGATTCAGTTATCTAAGCTAACTTAGCTTTACTGTATACTAATCATATATGTCTAGAATATTACATGTTACATTACAATCAAGAAATATTTTTGTAAAACAATGTGTAAAGTAAATTAATAAATGTAGGTCGAAACAAGTGTTTATTTAGCAATATGTTTTCTGGGATAAAAATTGTGATTTATTAATGTAATAGATCGGTACATAATATGTTGCATCAATTTTGCAGAGATAAGTTAATAGGGACTATATCCATGAATAAAACACAAAATTATATATATGTGAATAAGATTATAGTAAGATCAAGTTATACGAACCAATATATGATTGTCAAGCTTATGAGACCAACGTATAACTTCTCAACTATCGCTCACGTCATAGACTCCTAGGTTATATATGATGCGCATATTCCCAAAAGAAAAAATATACATTAACATAAAATAAGAGACATGTCACGTTGCAACATCTTTGAGCAAGAATTGACTGTTGAGAAAGGGAAATGGAGGTATATATTCCAAATCGGTGGTGCCCTTTAATTTACATATAATTTAAAGATATTTTCTATATATTACAGAAGCGTTAAACAAATCCACAAGAACCTCATCATTAGCAAAGTAGAAAAATGTAGTTTTGTGGCGAACCTTATGCGCCGTTGGGATTCTTGAGAATTCATGTACTCATAGTTTTAAGAAAACTAAATAATAAAATGGTGAAGATCTAATGCATGTATAATGCTGTTTTTTTTCTTTCTCGCCACTAAAGTAGTCCCACTAGAAGAAATAACCATGAACCCTCAACTTGAGCACAAAGCAACTATGCCACTACAAATGGTGTTAGGGTTTAATCCTATCACAACTAAAATGGATTTTTTAACTGTCCATACACTTCACCGCGCGTTGTGCATACATTTTCCTCTTGCATAGTTCAAATTGACAGTTAGGAGGTCTCGGCAATAGTTTAAATACATGAGTTCTAAAAGAAAAGTTTTTTTTTGTGATCAAAGGTTGAAGAAACTTGGAGAAAGAGGCAATGCGTTTTTTGTTGAATGATTATATTATGACATGGACTCCAACTTTCTTTGATGAGGAGTGAGAGAGAAATCATGTCTAGATTATATTTCATACTGGATAAATATTTTTCAGTTAACTTTTGGGATAGTAATTAATGTGCATATGTATATAAAAGTGTCAATATAAGAATATGATGCAAGAATTGCATGCTCGAGTACTTTAACTTCCGTTCACATTAATTATGAATAATCTAGCTCTCTATATATGCGAATACACACACACATATATATGCATAAACTTTTTTGTAGTTTCGTTTTTCCAATGAAAAATACTACTCTTTTTGTTTCAGTATAATACATGTTTTAAAGAAAAACCTTGTTTCTAAAAGATTCATATTCACATTGTCAATGTATTAGTTAATGTTAAATTATAAACTTTAAAACATTTATTAAAATTCTATTAATCAAAAGTTATGGAGAATAGTATATTACAAAAAATAACACATAGGTAATTTAAAATTTAAAATTTTTTAATGTGTGAAAATATTAAAACATACATCTTAGTGAAACATAGAGAGTATATATTAATCTTGAAAGATATGAATATGAAAGATTTTTCAATATAAGACATGGTTAATTCTTGATTTTCTAAATTAAATTTTCCTTATTTAAAATAAAATACTGTTTTCATTATTATAAGAAATCATGTAGCACAAACAAAAATATATGAAGTCTTTATATTTTATCCAAACAATTATTTGGCTATTTAAATCGTTAGTCAACCAATTTTTCCTTATGCCTGCATATATAATGTCTAAGTTCTAACATAACCCATATGCTTATGATTTTTGGGGTCCAACCAGAATCATATTCACCTGCGAAAGGTGTATGTCATTTCCCTTACAGAGATAGAGAAGTAATAGAAAGAGCATTGAGAAACAAATGAAATAGCAACAAAAGATGAATCTGTTCTAACCCATATTACTGATACTTTCGGCTTCTTATAAATAAGCTACAAGCCTACAAGTATAATGTAAAAGTGATGGTATCTCGTTGGTCACTGTTTTGCTGATTAAGGCCATAGAACTTTTTTTTTATATGGGATGTCTCGTTTTAAGAAAATGGTTGCGCAGTCTTCTTTTAGTTGTGAACGATATATATATTGAATCTGTGCACAAAAGAAATTATATATGGTTGAATCTTAAATTATAACATTTCATTATAATAGAATTTTAGAAATAAGATAAATAATACATTCTTCTTGGATCTCTTGCATTGATGAATGGCCACTACCTTGGAGCTTATAGTTATTATACTAATATATACATGAGTTAATGATCTATCTAATCACCTTCAAATATTTTTATTGCTATTTCAAATATTTTTACGTTTTTAACATGTTTTTTATGTTTTAATTGATAGTTTATGTTGGTGTGTTTAAGACGGGGACCGCTTAATTAACTGTTAGACCAGACTCCATGAGTCAGTATTGGCCAATGGATGTCCACTTATATGATTCTCAGAACTATATATGGATACCCACTTAACCATTATTAATACACCGTGTAGGTGTAATTGTAATAATATTATTGGCCAATAGATCTTGGGGAATTGTCTCTAGACACTTTGTGAATGGGTCAATGAATTCTTAAATGATCCACGACAAAGACATCCCATACACGCGTTCAGATCCTATTGATGAATCTTTTGATATACAATTATCAATAAACAATTAGGGATTTCATAGCCAAGTTTCCAACTAGTTGATGACTCATATGACTCTCATATTACTTGTTTGGTACTCCTTTCGTTTAATTTTAATTATCATTTTAAATTTATACACACAGATTTAAAAAAAAATTAATTTTACATATTTTTAAAATAAAAACACAATTATCTATATATTTAATTACATCTTAACCAATATAAAAATAAAAAATAGATAAAACTAATAAATTCCACATTAGAACTATACAATAATATTTATTTAGAAACAATTGTTTGTTAAACGACAAATAAAGTGGAATGGAATAAGTAATAGTTAACTAGTAGTCTGATACTCTATATATGTAAATGATTAAATTACACATTAATATATATAACATTATTTTTAGTCAGTTTATATTTTTATTTATTTTCCATGATATTCCTCCCTTCATATTTTAATTCATGTTTTATTTATAAAATAAAATACTTTAATTAAAATCTTAAAATTATTTTTTTCGAATACAAAAGTAAAATATGATCTCTTGAGCTCTTTCTTTTCATCCGATGTGGTATTCTCGATGGAAGAATCTCGTTGGATTCCCATATGCATACACGGTCAAACTGAAAAATGTCCAGATTTAATTTTCATTCAGTTTCAATCATGTTTATTGGTATTGACAAGATTATACCGATTAAATAGATGTGTTTATAGATACATCAGTAGATAGACAGCCTCAAGTTTATCGAAATACTCATGAAAAAAAGAAAACATAGACAATCGGTTGGAAAATCAGTATAGAAATGAGATTATCAAAGTATCTTCAACGGTTTATCTCATTTTTTTTTTAAAAAAAAAGAGATAAAATCAAAACGAATTTACATTTTACTTCAATAGTTTTACTTATTTTTTTCTCTCAAAATAATAATTTCAGATATATTATCTTATTACTATTTATTTTTAATTCTAAAATAATGATTATTATTTTATAAATCTTACAAATTTCATCAAAATAAGATTTTATTTGAATTAAATCTTCATTATACACATAATTTTAGTTTTTTTTTAAATACAAGGGTTTATATAAAATTATAATTATATACGAAAGTATTAATAATTCCTTTAAA